TTTTAAAAAAATACCATCTGGGACCCCAATTGATTTTTCCTGGTCGACTATTTTTAACTATATTTTCTACATTTAAATCAATGATTTCAATATTGTCCATAGAGGCCATCAAAAATGTTTAGCTCGAGGAATGTATAGTAGGTGAAAAATGTCAATTTCATATTCTTTTACTGCAGCATCAATGAAACATAATATTCTGAAAGATCTTTAGTTGAAGTGATTGAAAAGTTTCAGTTGAAAATTGCAATTGTATGTGATTAAGGTACAAATAATGTTGCAACTTTAAAGGACTTAGGAATTTCTAAAGAAAAAACATACTTTAATTAGGGTAAAAATAAAATTGTTTCTGTATTTTGATATACTTCATATACATAAAAAATTCTGTAACAGTTTTATAAAAGATGATTTTGTTTACAGAGAGCAAAGAATAACATTTAATGACATAAAAAAACACATAACATTGATAAGTCGTAATAATAATAGTGTGGGGTTCATTTTTAATTTAAAGTTTAATTTTTAGGTACACATTAATATATTATCATACATGTATTTTGATGTTATTTTTTTTAAATTTTAAAATGTATATAATCTATTGTCTAAGTTAAAAAGTAAAAGCATACCTGTATGGATAAAAGTGTTATCAAAGTATACAACTACAATAATAAGCCATAAATATAACTAAATGTATACATTTTCAATAAAAGAATCTAATATAATATAATTATGAATTAAATTTATTTTTCTTGCGAAGTTAAATAACATTATAAATGACAAAAAAACAAAAACAAATTGATTATATTAAGAAAGGTACATTTTACGACATGGTTATTATTATTGTTATAATGTAATGTCTGTCAACTACCAGCTACACGTATCTAGCTAGCTCTAATACAATATTAATAATTTCAATATAGTAAAATACATTGAATCATTACGAAAGATATTAAAATTCTGTGTTTTTCTCTTTGAAGAAGTATTAATATTGAACTTGGGTATAATATTAAAAAGACAATCACATTGTACAATAATTACCAATAATATGATTATGCTTAATGGCTCTGAAATGGACCAAAAACAAGTCCACATCGCCTTTTTCAGCATGATGATGCGGAGGTTGCGTCGATCCTCTTGTATAGGCTCCATTTATTTCCGTGCTTTTTAATATTATGAGTGTAACACGGCAATTCAATATGCTTACTATAAATCAATAAATCAAATAAAACAATTATTAGTATTAAGTTATAAGTTTATCGAGACGACTAACCGAGAAGACCGAACCGATATTGAATTGAGACCAAATCGCGGGTTGAATATTGAACTGTTTCTGTAAATCGTAATGACTAATGAACCAGGTTTGACGTTTGGGCATCGGATCAATAATATAATGGGGTGGTAGTTTTATGACCAAGTGGAAATGAATAGCTCCGCCCGCACCTGGTTACCTGGAATAGAAAACGTTAAGGTTATCTCCACCGTTTTTATCTTATCTTTATCGCGTAACGCGGATAGGTTATTTCCAAGATAACATCGATTTTCATGGATTAGAAAAATTTAAAACGGCTGTTACTTATAAAATATTCATCGGATATAAATATATTAAATATTTAATATACATTAAAATAATTTCAGAAAAATAATCTTTACAGAATAACTATCTTAAAATTTTCCGAAAATAATAAAATAAAGTTATTTTTTAAATTTGTTTAATAATTTAATATAAGTTTATGTGGTAGCCTGTACTAAAATGTATTTATTTCCTTTATCATCGATATGAGATAAAATTTTTAAGTTTATCTACATTCGCCAAAATATATTACACAATCAATGATTATACAAATACATAAAAATGGTAGTATAAAATATAATTATCATTATGGAAATGGTCTAGGGATTTTAGTTTTAAGTGTTGGCCAATCTGATCTGATAACATTTTTATTTTTGTTATCAGTTTTAAGAGAACTGCTACGAACTCGTGGCAAATAGCGTTGGGTATCGTATTGTATACGGAGTCGGCTATCTAGTTTTTGTATGTATCAGTGGTTTTGACCACGATTTAAGATATACTTAATATATCTCAAAACCGTGATGTTTAACCTGTGTATCTTAAACTGTACTTTTTAACTGTCTTTTTTACTATCTGGTCATTGTTTTATTTTGTGTTACATATGTATATGAAATTCAAAAATTGTTAATTATATTTAATAAAAATATAGGACTCGCGTAATTTAAAAATGTTTTAGTAATTATTATGTATTATTAATTTAATATTGTATTACTATTTTATTATTGTATTTATTTTTGTTTTGCTATAATCAATATTAAAAATTAAAAATTTATCATTATTAATATGTATTATTTATTATCATTTAACCGAAAATCTGAGGTTAGAAATAAATGTATTATACCAATGCTTAGTATAATAAACGATATTAGGTTAGATTAATATTTATTGTCATACTTTCATAAATTATAATATTGAATATATTATCATAGTAGTTTAATGTAGCTATTTTGTTAAGGTTAATTAATAATGATTTATAATATTTATTACAAATTTTCATAACATGTAGGTTCATTAAAAAATATAGTATAACATATTGCAATTATATATTATACATACTCGTAAAAATAAAATGAAATCAAAAATTAAAAAATCAATTCGTTCTTAAAAATAAAAACAGCAGTCTATTTTTTATTATATAGCAAAATGTGTTGTACCTGATAATTAAATAAGTATGTAATTTTTAATATCTAAAGTAATTAATCCAAACCCGGATAAAATGAACTATTTTTTTAATGTTAGCATGGTATGATAAAATAAAGGTACGGATTAATAGACCAGAAAATAAAACTAATCGGTATATAATTGAAATATATCTACAAAACACAAACTATTATATTGAAGCATTAATTAATTGTTTTTTTCAAAACTATAGATACTAGATATTAAAATTGTGAAATAAAATAAGAAAATACTGTTCTCATTAGTAATTGCTTTATTTGAAAAAGTTGTTAACCATACTTACTAATGTTGCAGCATCACTAGAATATATCTTAGTTTGTGCGAAAATATAATTGCAATAATAATATAATAATATTAATGTAATTAGATACATATAAATTAATATAATATATTATAACATTATGAATGTATTGAAGTAAAAATAAAAATAAATAAAAAATAGTTTTACATTTTATCTTAAAGAAAAATAAAACGTTTTAGGATAACGGAGATGATTGCAGGCATTGTTATAGGTAATTTAATGTTTATATATAAAAGCAACAATAAACCATTGCTACTGAAAAAACGATTCTGAGCGTAGTTCGGTGGGTAGTGATGCTTTGTCAACAATATTTATGTCATATTATGAATAAATAATTAAATAGGCATTATATATTTTCTTTAATAATATTTGTTTAATATAGTACCGATTTTTCAGTTTTTCCCGGTTATTTGATGTTTAAATCGAAAATGATCTCTTTAAGGTACTTATTTCCCCACACCGATTTCCTTTCAGAAAAGTTGCTTCTCTCAGAATTTTAAACAAAATTGAAGATAAAAGAACTATTATCGTACATTTTACCGTATTTTCTGAATTTTTTTATCGATTTTGCCCAATTCATTAAAAAAACTACAAAAAAAAAAAATCAATAAATCAAAATTTTCTTTTTCACCAACTAGATTACAAATTCAACAAAATAGATCTTTTGATTGTTTTTTATTGGAGCAATATTTATGATAGAACACATAAGTTATACAAGTTTAAAATAATGAAATTGTTGTGCCGTAAATTGGAAAAAATCGTATATTATCGTCTTTTTCGGGTTTTCCTAATGATTATGAAAAATATTTTAGATATTAAAAATTACTAACATTGTCAGTGGCAGAATATTATATGAAACAAAATCGATTTCTTGTAATTTTTGGATTGAAGCAATATTTCTAATAGAAAACAACTTGTTAACATAATAAAAATAAATAAAAATTGCGACGCGCCAAAAATATTTTCCGTTTTTCCTATATTTTTTCCGGGTTTTTCCCAATTTTTTTCAAAAACCCCTCGAAAAATTGAAAAATAACTTCCTCGATGTATCAATGAAAGAAAATTACTTTTTGGAAAATGTCTATACTTCGGATCAAGTTTTCTGGTAGAAAAGTTCATAGACAGAAAAACAAAAAAAATAATAAAAACACACATCACAGTAAAACCAATAGATTCCTCGCTATACTCCAAATATAATACATCCATCATCTTCAATATTAAATGAAACATATTTTCGTATACAAATTATTTCTCTATTATTATTAAAAAAACAAGCTATTTGTATAACTACTTATATAACCCTACTTAATACTAGTAATGGAAATATTTTAATTTTATACATCATTTATTTAATTACAAATTAAATATAATAATTCCAGTTTTTGTAAGAAAAATTTACCCCGCAGGAGAGGCATCTGCCCACCCTGCCCATCCCATGAGCACGCCTATACTAGAGGATCGTAACATTGTACTTTAAATAGTAAACTTGTAAGTATTCATGAATCATGCCAATAGTATAATAGTAAACGATAGAAATAATTTGCCTACTTTGATTGTTGAAGAGCCAATTGGCTCATTTTGGTTAACTCAATCACAAATAGAACATGAACAAATGATATTTTATAAAACAGTTAAAATACATAAAAATTTAATAAGAGAGAAAACAAATAACATAATAGATTCATAGTCGTTTATTTTTATTTAAAGCCATACGGGTTAATTTGATTTTAATATTTTTTAAAACTTTAAGGACATGACCAAGTCTTCAATGAACATCTATTATTAATTATTACTCATTGACAGGTATAACAAAAAAAAAAAACAAAATAATTAGATTTTTATTTTTAAATAAATGGAAGTGGTGATGCACGGTTAAGGATTTAAGGTGATATCTGAAAAAAAACTCTTATTAATACATTTTTTGCTAAATTCGGAATCTAAAATAAAACGAATTGTTTAGTATTTTATGCCCAGAGACAAATTTTGAGAGCTTAATGGTTCTAATTTTTTCAAGTTGCATTGATCCCAATGTATCCCTATGTATAGCAACAGCAATCCAAACGCTGTCGTTATCATAAGTACAATTATGAAGTCCAGGAATCGTAATTCAGGATTTTTCAGCTTTGGCCGTTCATTAGATTCCCCGAATTGTAGATTCATCTTTGTTGTAGTGGTTCTCTGCGAACAATACAATTATTATTAGTACGGAAACTAGTGTCGGTCTCAAAAATTTACATTAAGGGGGTGAGAATTTATATTCACTGTTTGCAAAATAAGCCACAGGGGCTGTGTTCCAGCACCCTGACAATAAATAAATTATTTAAAGATCCATCAAAATTACTTCGGATTTGTACGTATATATTAACAAACTTAAAATACCTAAATAATATGCATTGTATGCAATTACATAGTAAATTACTCAGTTAACAAAACACAATTTTGAATAAGAACATACTTCCTCTCTCTTAAAAAAAATGAAAATATGTACAAATCCGGAATATATAATATAAATAATAAAATTGCTTTTTTTTTACTATCCAAGAAACTATAATTAATAAACAACTCTAGGTATTAGTAATAATACAACTTAAACTTAAAAAGAATATCAATTAAATAAGCAAAATGCATATTATTAATAATATAGGTATATATATTCTTCTTCAATAGCTTAATAATCCTTTTAGAACCTGAGCTACTATAAGCAAACTTTTACATCGCACCCTGTCAAATGCTAGTTCCACTGAAGCATTTTTATTCATCCTTCGCATGTCCTTCATTACTGCATTCTTCCATCTCGTTTGTGGCTTAACTAGAGGTTTAGTTTTATAAATGGTTCCATTAAGGGCTCTTGTTATTAACTGGTCTTCGTCTCTCCACACGTTTCCAAACCATTATAATATCTTTGTCTTTAGATACGACAGCATATTCAATTTTTCTTATAGATTGTGTAGTTTTTTATTAAAAAAATAACTTTATTTTATTATTTTCTGAAAATTTAAATGTATCACACATTTATATCCGATGACTAATTTCTAAGTTACAGCCGATTTTACTTGATTTTTTACTTTTTTACTTAATTTGATGTGGTCAGTTGCAAATTTCCATATCTAAACCATCCTCTTAATAGTCCATGCTGGGTTCCTATATGATTCATATTATTTCTGTAATCTATAATAAAACCAAATAGTTGTTGAAATCGATTCTGCAGAAGCCATAATGTAAAAAAGGAGGACATACTGAAAAAGAACGTCAAGAATTCCACGAAGGAAAAAATGAAAGCAGTGATAAACATGTTACAGGTTAGATTTAAAAATTTAAATACTTTAATTATTATAAATATCTAATAACAAATGTCTCCATTAAAATTATTTATATAAAATAGCAAAGCTAAATTCCAGAATACAAAATTAATGATCGTATGATTATTCCAGTACCAAAAGTAGACAGAGGACCTTCAGATCCTGTAAACGTAACTAGTGTTATTGTAGAACGTATACTTTTGTTATTTAACAACCATTTAGTCACTAAAAATAAAAATAATACTAATTAAACTATAATAACCTGCAGTGTACTAGAAATCGTACATAATTCGAATTCTTCTACATCCTTTTCTGTTTTAGAAGATGGATTCACTGCTTTTTCAATATCAATTATATAGCTTTTAGTATTATGTTTTACCGTAAAATAGTTCATTTTGTTTGTTGTTATTTTGAATGTCCACAACCAAAAGATGAAAGCCTAGAAATATACGACAAAAATTAGTTCTCGCTTCATAAATCAAAAGTTCATATTTTCGAAAAATTACATATTTTACACAAATCAATGGGTGATTGAAAACCAGGTAATTTTTGAAGCACTATTATTTTATGGTTAAATTATATATAAATTCTGATGTTTTAGAATTTTTAGGATTATGAATGACGAAATTTTCATATACTTTGATTTTTCATAATGTTTAAAGGGTATCCTTTGGCGATACCAACTTTGGTTTTTCAAATGAAAACCTATATGATTTATTGCAAATTGTGAATTAATTAATTTTTTTTTTTTTTTGAAAATGTTGACGCATTGTAATCAAAATTTGAAAGAATGTTTCTAAGTTATTCTGCTTTAAATACTAAGGATAATATCTTTTTAAGGAAATTGGGTACTGAAATTATTTCATAGGAGTTGCGTATAGGTGATTTCTTTTGTTAATCCTTGCAGTTATCGAAAAACCGGTTTTTATTATTATTTTTTTTTTTCATTTTAAGTAGAATAACTAAATTATTTGTTTAAATTTTAATTATTATGTGTAAAAATGTTCAGAAAAATCATCCGATTAACAATTTATATTAAATATAGTAGGTTCTTATTTGAAAAACCAAAGTTGGTATTGCCACTGAGTACTCCTTAAATTTTGTAAAAAATCGAACTAGATATTCAAAAATGTTTTATTTCGTTACTTATACAAATTTCAAAAATTCTAAATTGAATTTATCTATAATTTAAATATATAAATAGGGTAAGCATGCTTAAAAATCTCCCTGTATATATCATATAAATATCTAATAAATATTAAAATATAGAAATATATATATACATATAATTTATTAATATACAATATGTTACAATGTTACATGTTTACCTATATTTTAAGGCCATGAGGAATTCATTCCAAACATTCTTCTTTCCTCGTAAAAACTTCCGTAGCATAAGCAACGGCCATACTAAATTTGTTTGGGTGGTTGCCCGAAAAACTTACAGGTGCTGCAATGTCGATGATTTTACGATGTTTTATGGGGACGACGACGATGATATATGACGGTGTGAACAAAATGTAAAGGCTCAAAACGCCCACTCCTACACAGCGATCGATCGGCATCTGACGTCACTACCCTGTCACTTTCACAACACGGTATCATTTTAGGTCAGGAAATTCAATGATAAAACTTTGCCGAGAATGAGATACATTTTGTACAAGAGCTGCACTCTACACTCGGAAAATGCAACTGCGTGGTAACTGAATTTCATCCATTTATACGTAGAATGTACATGGTTTGCACACATAGGCATGATGTGAGAATTTGTCCTCAAGAATGCATTGCTTGATTATTGACCTTAACACTTGTTTTAAATGATAAACAATACTTGTTCTAAATAATTACAGTATTTTACGCGTCTATTTCTGCAAATTTGCAAGTAAACTTCCATTAAGCCCACGAACATTAAAAGTTTTTTCCCCAGACCTTAGATAATGTCATAGAAACTTAAAATTAGCGTAAAAAAAAAGGATTAGAACGTACAATACAGTTGAGTATATAACACGTATCATACGTGTGTATAAAACGTATTAGTATAACTATTAGCTGTATACGTTTTATACTGTATATAATTTTTTTTTTTTTTTTGGTTGCAACTGAACAGAAATTATCAGGTAAAATAATTTTTAATTAAATTTAATTATCATTTTATATATCTTATATTAATAATCTAAGGTATATGTGATAATTTGTTATATTAGTTACTAGGTACATCTTTATTTTTTATTAATATCTATCCCAATATTTATAATAACAAAATAAAAATTCGTTTTGTTTTTATTTTATTTTAAATTTATGAAAATTCACCAAATTGGTGTCACTTGTTAAATTGATATATTAATTTTAAGTGTAAATATTTATTCAAATTTAAAATATATAGCTCTATTACTAGGTACAGATTATATGCATTTGCCTGATCCAAAAAGTAGCTGGATAAACTACAAGTTTGAATTATAGTCAATAGAACTGAAACACAAAGTTTTATTTTGTATAATTTAATATTTTAGATTATGAGTGAAGCGAATTATTCAAGTCATTTTTTGATTTTCTCAAGAGTTTTCTCATCAAATGCGAAAAACCGAAAATAAAACTGAGGAAAAACGGGAAAATCTACAAAATATATTTGTATAATATTTATGAATTTTTTTTCTGTGGACAACTTTTCATAATAAATAGTATAATAATAAAGTATAATAAATACTCCGCAGCAATACTTTTTCTCTTCAAGCGCTTTGCTTATTACGTTGGTGACACGATGGATCTAGTCGATTGCTGAGTGTTTATTTTGAAATCCAAACTGATGTTCTGGTATAAGCTGTCTTTCTTCTATCAACGGTTTTAAGCGTTTTAGAAGTAGTTTTTCGAATAATTTTGAGATGCTTGGAAGAAGCGAAATCGGTCTTTATGAAGTAACTTGTTCTAGTGGTTTTCTAGAACCCAACGTATAGAAAAATTCAGCGAACTTCACTTCATTTGCACCTTCTTGCGGTGGGCGATAAATTGCAGCAACGGTGAGATCGTTATTCCCGCCATTAACTCTGACTCTTGTCGTTTGTATATGATTTACAGAGTGTTTTTCGAGTTCATAGTCCTTTATGGACTCTTTTATTATTACAGCAGTACCAACCCGAGATCTACTACTAGGTTGAATTGTCGTATATATTCTGTAATTTCTTAACTTAAGGAAAGTCTACGTTGTGAAGTGAATTTCTGAAATAAGGGCTATGTAAATGTTTTCTCTGTTTTAAAGGTTTTCAAGTTTTTGTTTTCGCTGTACTAACCCATTGATGTTCCATACAATGATCCACAGTGTACTGTTCATTTCTTTATTTTCTGCGAGATATTTTTGGACTTTGTCTGGTTTATTTCCAGTTTGTCCATTTTTGCTCTGATATTTGCTAGTGTCTGCGTTACGTTGGTTAACACGACTAGAATATCATTAAAAGTAATCGATTCTTCGTTTCCCTCTGGTTGAGATGTTTGTGGATCGACTTTTGAAGTGCTAGCCACCTGCGCGTATGAAACATTTGCTACGACAGGTTTCTGCTGTATTCTTTGCACAACAGAGACTTGTTTTGGGTGTGCACTTTCTATTGCTTTCTTGTAATTCTGATTACAAGAATTGGTTTTCAATTCAGTTGGTCAAGAACTGATTACAAGGTTGCTCTGGCAACCCTTCCAGTTGGCTGTGTGATTTTCACCACAGTTTGCACATTTTGCTTTTGTCTTTTTAGATTTTAGGCAACCTTCGGTTCTGTGTCCTTCACTACATTTCACGCATACAGTAAACAGGGAATAATATGATATGTTTTAGATGTTCAACCATAAGGAGTCTGGAGTTTTTAAAGAAGTTGGTCGTAATACTATGGGATTGGGACACGATACGATATTATTGGAAAACGGGATAGAAATAGATTGTTTCGCGAGACATTTCGTATACGCAAATACACAATTGGAGGAGCCGTACAATATGCCAAATTAACTGTGTATATATACATGGTGATTATTTTATCATGAACCAACAATTTTCTCAGAGGATTTTAAGTGAATTTGATTTCTGTTTTTTCTAATCATTATGGAATCGCTTAAGCTTTATTTTAAAACTATTTTTAATTTTTTACCCCTACTCTATATATCTTAAATAAGTGCATATTTTTGATTTTAAAATAGGAATGAGGATTCCTATTGAACACAAATTTGAATAGAAAATATTTTTCTAGAAATTTTGATATGTATAACACTATTATTAAATTTACCGTATATGAGTTATAACAGTTTAAAATTTAGACCGGAGGAGTAGAGAAAGGTAGATAGGCAATTTATTACCTAATATACTTTATATATTATACTAATGTGTATAATATATAAATTATATGGGTACCAAAAAAAGGAAATAATTTGAAAATTTATTTATTTTTAAAATAAATAGAATATCGCAAGACAGTCTTATCAAGGAAAACAGTTTTTATGAACCGCTTTGCGTGAAAACAACCAGCCGTAGCGTTTCTTATCTATTCAAACCACCCGACCGCGACCGTTGGCAGTTAAACCGCTCCGTGTGTAAGAGTAGAAGATTGTTAGAGGAGGATTTTATTATACTTGAGTACTTCACACAGTACGTAATACGTATTACGTGAATAGTAATACAGAATGTAGTAAGGTATTTTAATAAGCTGTGGGAAATTAATTTTTACTGCTAATATATTCAAGCACCTTCATGTCAGATATACTTGTACTTTAATTAAAAGTGTTTGAATATTTTTCAACTGAAATAAAATATGTATTTGTAAAATTATCGTGTTTAATCTTTCGACTATTACCTGACTCTGAGTTTGAAAATACGCCCACAACAATATGTGAACAACTTTTCTACTAGAAATTTTACTCCGATTTTCAATGACAGAAATTTTCTGAAATGAAATCTGACTAGGGCGGTACTTTAAAGAGGTTATTTTTTGATTTTCCCAACTTCTCACCAACAACAGTGGCACACCCATCGTGCGAAGTATGACCGTCTTTTTTTAATACCTCAGTGCCATAGCCAGATCAATATGTCCATGACTACTGTATTTTGTTATTTTTTATCTTATTTTTAATTACATAGGCAATTGCCCTTTAGTTTACATATATTATTTGTTATTTTAATAATACGTGTTATTTAGATAATATAATATAACATTAAATTATAAATTAAAATATAAATTAACTTAATTAGTTACCAAAGGCGGGGTTAGCGTTGATACTCGTCATTAGGCGTCTAATAAGTTCGTTTTAAAACATAAAAGTGATAACATAGCAGATGAGTTAATATTGCCATCCAATAAACCACTTACAAATCTAATTCTAGCAGTGCGTCTACGCTCACCTAAGAAGGAAAGGCCAAGCAGGTCAGATACCGAGGGATAATGGTGTTGAGGACAATGTATTTTGCTAATATCCATAATAAAATTCAACTCACACGAAATATTTGTTTCGTTAATTATATACATCATTAACATTAAAGTATACATTGACTAGTAGATCAAAGGTGGGTATTCCTAGTTGATCAATCGTGACGTAATTCTTCTTAGTGTTATAAACTTAAGAAAAGAAGTCGAAGAATAAATTTGCAGTCGTAAGCTCACATAAAAAAAAAAAACAAATGTTTTTATAAAACTAATACATTCTTCATTACACTCAGAATCTAAAATAATATTAATGAGCATTTTAATAATAATAATCAAATCAGAATCACAATAATCATAAATACTTTTAATGATATGAATCAACAATAATAATTATCAATATATTTATAATATCAATCAATCATAATAATAAACATCAACAAATATTCATCGTAAACATTAACATCATAATCAGCATTCTACTATCATAGTTTTAATAAGGATAGTAAAATAAGTACATGAATAGTAATAATAATAAAGAACACTTTAGAAAATATATCTAATTATAATCAACATTTTAATAAGCACAATAGGTAATAAGATATATAATGATTACTTAAATAATAATAATTACCAATAATAATTGCGAAGTTATAATTGCTCCGAAAACGAGGCAAACCTTTCATCATCGTATTGACCCATTTGTCTCCTCAATACAGTAGTAGGCAAGCAATTTGAGTGCATCATAAAGAAACGACTAGAGGTACACCTAGAGAGTGTTGGTGGCCTAAATGAACGGTATAGGTTAGGTATAGGTTCAAGAATGTTCGATCTACAATTGATGTTATTACAAAGGTCTCGGAAATTGTAAAGCAAGCTGCAGATTGACCGATACGTCGGAGAGGGTCTATGTGGTTGTGGCGCTAGAAGTAGCCAATGCATTCAATTCGGCAAGGTGGAAAAAAATCGAAGAAGCATTGTGTAGTAAAAGAGTACCATGGAAATCATCCGTGACTACTTATGCGACCGAACAGTCACATTTGGTGAAAAGGACATCAAATCGTAACATGTGGGGTTCCAAAGGGGTCGGTTCTCGGGCTACTCTTATAGAAAGTGATGTACGACGATCTCTTCAAGGTGAATTTCGGAGAAACCACAAAGCTTTCATCGTCAATACTTGTGCCCTTTGTGTATGACGTAGCAGTGGTAGCAACAAGTCAAACAACACCTATTCTAGAAGAAACTATGAATCGAATCTTAGAGTAGTAGTGACATGGATGGAAGATAATGGACTTAAACTATCTATACAGAAGACAAAAGCCAGGATGTTAACGTTAAAAAGAGGATATGAGAGCCCAATTTTAGGATTAGAGAAGTCCAGGTTCAACTAAAGGTACAAATGCGATACATAGGAGTTGAGCTAAGTAGGGTTTTGGGCTGGGGTGGTTATAAAAGCAACCTGGAAACGACTATGGTAAATGCATCCTATATATTATCAGCCCTTTCAAGGCTGATGCCAAAAGTAGGGGACTCAAGATAGCACAAACTACAGCTATTAGTGTCAGTAGTTACCAGCCAACTGTTATACGCTACTCCAATTTGGGAGGGTGCATTATTATACAAAACAAATATTAACATTAAGAGTGGCGATGGCGTTTCCACGGTGGCGATAATGGTAGTAGTGGGTCTTATTCCGCTACACTTACAGGCCAAAGAAAGACAAAAAAGATACGGTAAAAGAACAAAACCAGAACAAAAAGAAATAGGAAGAGTAGAGTGAGAAGAAACATACAGGACATGGCAGGAGGAGTAGGATATGGCTGAAACGGGACGATGGATATGGAAACTCATTAAGGAGATAAAGCAGTGGTCAATCAGGCAGTTTGATTTCGTTGACTATCATCTAATGCAAGTTCTACCATAAGCGTTTTAATAAAATAACAAAAAATAATCATAATCATAAGTTTAATAAATATTTGTTGATGATTATTATTATAATTGATAGTTATTATAAGTATGCTGATTATTATTATTGTTGATTAATATTATTAAAAATATTAATTATTATTATGATGCTTAATTGATTATTAAAATACTCATTCAATGATCATCGTTTTCATTATTAACTATTAGGCTTATTTTTAAAATGCTGGTTATGATTTTTAAGGAGCTTATTATTTCTATTATTATTATTTCTATTATTATGCTTATTATTTCTACTTGCTGGTAGAAAAGTTGTCAACAGAAAAAAAAGGCTGTAATATTTTACTAATACATTTCGTATATTTTCCCATTTTTCCTCAGTTTTTTCCCGGTTTTCCAATTTATTGAGCAAACTTTTAAGAAAATCAAAATATGACCTTCCTAAAATACCTTCACAGGAATATTCCATTTCAGAAAATTTGCTACACTTAATACTTTGGAGCAATAGTTCTGTTTTTATTTATTTTTTGTTATTATTAAGTTTTTATTTTTTAATATTTTTCAAAAAATCATTGTTGTCATGAGAAACGCACATAGTTGTAATCATTTTACCATAATATGACAATATATTATTGACAAAGCAACACTATTAACTGTGCAATGGTTTATTGTTGTTTACATATATACATTAAATTCTCGTCTGTATCCTACCTTCTCAACTTCCCATCTAAAACAGTGGCTGCACCAACATGCGAAGTATGTCTGTCCTTACCAAGTACTACTGTAAAAATATTAAAAAGTCGTTTGATGATTTTGAAAAATTTTCCACGTCTAGGTAAGTCTAATATAAGTATTCTGGTTATCAAGTTTTAAATGTATAAGTGTATTTATAACCGAATTACAACAAAAAACTCCCAAAAATTAAAATTCCTTAATAGCTTAAAAGTTTTGGCGTTGATACCGTTAGAAAGTAAATCAAAAAGGCGACAAAAGAGGTACCTTGTGATTTTTCAATTAAATCATTTTTGCTGATAGAAAATGTCCGTATTTTTATAAAATAATGAAATTGTAAAATTGTATGTTTTCCTACATATTTCCCACTTAAGTGCTTTTGTTTAAAAAATGCCTTCAAATTTCAAAAAATGAATAATAAACTCCCTTGCTACTCTCGGAATCTAAAATATAATTGGGAGTATAGCAAAATAACCATTAAATTATTAATCATTTTAATAATTTCGTTTTTTTACTTTATTATTTCATTATAAATTATATTTATCGTGCTAATATAATTACGAGTAATGATATAGGTATTATGACTATTTTATAGGTTTACCGATTTCACAAAATATTTTTTTAGAGCGTAATATTATTAATATATTACCTATATGGTTAAAATCAATTTCTCTATATTAAGTAATTAAAAGATACATATAAATATATATTAAATATTAATATGAAAACAAAATAAATACGGACATACATGTATTTTAATTGTTTGTTCAAATGTGGGTGTGTTTACACAAATACACATACATCTGATATGGCCGTTGTGGAATATATTAAGTATATAGTTAGAAACATGTAACATCAAAGTAAATGTTCACGAGTCAATACTCAAAAGGTACGTATATACTATATACTAAGTACTTATATACTGTATGTTCACATTAAAATAGGAAAACATGGCCTTTACAGAATTCATTATACATTGTATCTACACACATTTAGCATTCAGACTGCAGCAGCCCCCTTAATATTTTTAAACGGAATTTTATTCAAGAAACAACTGAAAGTTATCTGCGTACATTTTGAATATTCTTCAGTGAAATAATGTAATATTATACCTCTACAGATTATATTACAATTTAAGATTTAAATTTACTGTAGGTACTTATATAAATTCCAATGAGGGTTGCAAAGGAAATATTATTATAATTTGTTTTAAACGTGACCTCTCATTTTAAAGTTTAAACATTTAATACAAAAACGTTTTGAACTTATAGATTTTGTTGTGGTTTTTAAACAAAATTGTTTGTCCAAATTGAAACAAATTATCTGAGATGTTGAACGAACCGTCAAAGAAATGTTCACGTTCAAGGTATGAATTATGCTGTCTAAATATCACAATGATAAGTTGATAATCGAATATTTTGGTTAAAATTTTACATTCTTAGTGACGTGAAAAACGTATTGGTTTTACAAAGATAGTTATTTCTTTTTTTTTTTTATGTGAACACTTTTTCCACCGGAAAGCTTAATCAGATGTATACGATGTAGATATTTTTCTGAAAGGAAATTTTCTTGGATTGGTACTTTAAAGAGGTCATTTATCGATTTTCACAAGAGTTTTCTCATAAAATGTAAAAAACTGGGAAAAATGTGAAAAAACAGGAAAATTGGTACAAACATTAAACAAATCTTATTAAAGAAAATATATAATGCCTATTTAATTATTTTACTATAATATGCCATATGTATATTGTTAACAAAGCATTACTATCAACTGAACTCTGTTTAGAATCGTTTTTAGTAAACAATAGTTTATCTTTGTATAATTTATTTCCCTTTTATATCTTACCTTCCTAACTTCTCACCAACAACAACAGTGGTTGCACCCATCGTGCGAATTATGTCCATCTTTTTTAAAATTGAGTAAATTTATAAAAAAAGCAAATATACTTATTTAGTTCCTCAAAGAAAATCTAAACTAAAGTCTTTAAGGTAGGTACTATATTTATAAACCAGTCGTTAGAAAAAAAAAATGGACATAAATCACACGATGGGCCACTGTTGAAGATAAGAAGTTGAAAAGGTAGAGAGAATATTTAATGTACATCAGTACCCAATGATTTGGGTGCTATAATTTAAACTTCAGAGCAAGTTTTCTGGTAGAAAATTTGTTCAAGTACAAAAAACAATGCACACACATCATGGTAAAACCAATAGATTCATAACTATGCTTCGGATTTAAAAAAAAAATAAACATCATTGTAAAATCATTGCGTCATGTTTCACTGTATATCTAGTATAGGTAAAACTGGTATCATCAATACAATAGTATATTAATAATATGTATATAAAAAAAATGTACAAAAATTAATTCCGGTACCGGGAATCGAACCCGAGCCTCCTGGGTGAAAGCCAGGTATCCTAGCCACTAGACCATACCGGATCGATGTTAGTATGGTGTAAAACAAAAGTAATTTAAATTGTAAATCCATGCTATTTTTTTTTAAATATATAATTTAAGAATAAGATAAGCCGATACATAAACCGGTATTCAATATCGGTTTATTGGTTTTTATCAATATAGGTTTTTCAAAATTAAGATTTGACCCAATATTTAAAAAAAAAAACCAGTAATGTCTTTAGAATAAAAAAAACGCCGATAAATAAATTTAGGATATTTTTCATCTGAAAACAAATTGAGCATTGAAGGATATAACTATTGGAATCTTGGAACATTTTTATAATCACGTATAATATATAAAAAAATGGCAAAAATATATTCCGGTACCGGGAATCGAACCCGAGCCTCCTGGGTGAAAGCCAGGTATCCTAGCCACTAGACCATACCGGATGGGTGTTAACCAATGAACAAAAATTAAATTAAAGTCACTTTAATTTTTTTTTTTTTAAATAATGTAACTCGCTGGATACTTGTAATTAAATGTTTACTATTATATAAGTAGTGCTATACCTACAACCAAAATCTATGTAAATTGCTAGTGTGGACTGCCATATTGTGGCAGTCACTGTCCTCTATGATTTGATACCATTAAAAAGATTACTACTTCAGTAATATTGACGTAATATGACATTTTACATGTTTCCAGTTTAGCAGTAATGTCTATCAATGTATTAAGAGGACTTGTTACAATAGGCTTGTGTTCATATTTATTATTTATGAGCCAATATTTGTATGTAATTACCTACTAAAAATGTTTTTATTTGATTATTTCCATTAAAATTTTAGATTCTGAGTGGAGCGGAGAAGTTAGAAAAATTTTACAAAAATACAAAGATTTTACAAAGATGTTTAATTTTTTTCTGTGAAAAACTTTTCTACCAGAGAACTTTATCCGATTTTTATGTGTGGCATTGTTTTTGAAAAGAAATCACTGTGGGGAGATTCTTTAAAACGTCATTTTTCGATTTTCTCAAGAGTTTTCTCATCAAATGCAAAAAACCTAAAGAAAAAAAACGGAAAATGTACGAAATATAGGTATTAGTTAAAAATATTACGGTCATTTTTTTGTTCTGTGGACAACTTTTCTACCAGCAATTTTGCTCTAATTTGTCTAAAAACAAATTTCACTAAAGGGGGTACTTTAAAGATGTCGTTTTTCAATTTTCTAGGAATTTTCTTAGCAAATATGAAAAACCAGAATTGACCAGTCTAGTTTGTTTTTTCTCTGTACATCCATGTTTACGTACGCGTTCTTATTTGAAGCGAATCCTTCTCATTTTTCTACTTCTCACTTAAGTTCTCACTATCATTATTTACGTACCAGCCGAGTCAGCTGTTTGTTTTCATAGTGTAGCTCGAGGTTACTAGTACTTAATGCTGTTAAATTCTATCGTTGACATCACTTCGCTGGATTGAGCTTATCTATTCTACTTCTTCTTTGCCGCTACTTCAACTACTATCTTGTAATTTGAGTTGCCTACCTCTTAATACTAGGTGTATTATTTACAGCTAATCTTAGAATTTTTTAACTTTCGATTAATAATGGGGATAACTCTCCCTGTAAGAATTCCATACAAATCAACACCCAGTCTGCTTCTTCTATGGCCAAAAAGTCTACTAAAGTACAGTTAATATCTTTTAAGTTTCTCTGAATGGATGAATTCCGTAGTATTTTCTTAGGAATTCAAAGGACCCAGGAAGAAATGTTAGCTGGTTTCAAATATTTGAGTTTATCCCAGGACAAGAAGCATAACGTGTTGAAAGCCAATTTAGATGCATTATTCACTCAAATTCACGATTTGAAGTCTTAGAACGCATCTTTCATCTTTCATCAACTAATTGTGCTTTCAGTTAAGTTGATTTGAATCACCATACAAAAGCGCTAGATGCCGACGTTTTTTAGTAGGTAAGTACCTCGTTCTTTAATTGAACATGTCCGTAGTATCCGAATAAGATGGCGCGGCACTTTCTATTCATATGGTACGGAGTTCGATCCGACGATCTCAAAACAATTCCTTTGCTTTTTTTTGTATTTCCACTGTAACAACCTCGTCGAGTTTTTGCAAACAAAACGGGATTTATTTAAATTTAAAACAATCCATAAAATGAATAAGACGATTACATAAATTTCATTTTTTATTTTATTTTAAAATCGTATACCTAAATTGAATGAATCTTAAAGCCTCAGTCAAATACATAAACATGGGACAAAAGCTATTTATATTGGCTATGCTGATCTATAATAATGACAAACTTCTAATAGCTATACAATTTTTAATAATGGTTTCAGTGAAAAATTCAAACATTTTAAATATGTCGAAAAACACACCTTTTCAAACATAGTTGAAAAATAAGAGGTGAGGTTTTCCCAGTTTTCCTACGTTTTTCCTGTTTTTCCTTTGTTTTTTTTTTTTTGGTTTTTCAAATTTGTCGGGAAAACTCCAGAGAAAATCGAAAAAATTACTTCTGTAAAGTACCTAATAAATAAAATTTCCATTCAGAAAAGATGCCACACTTATGCATCGGAGCAAGTTTTCTAGGAGATAAGTGATTTAAAGTAAAAAAAAAATTAAAATATCTCTGTAAAAAAAAAAAAAAAAAAAATGTTCCGAATGTTTTGAATATTTAATCACATCTAATATAAGTTTTCATATCAAGTATCAAGTGTCTCTACGAATATTTATAACCGAATTACGAAAAATAACGTCCAAAATTAAAATAACTATAAATAGCTCAAAATTGGTTAAAACGTTTTGAAAATGATACCATAAGAAATAAGATTCAAAATAAAATAAAATAGGTCTCTTGTCATTTTTGGTTTGGAGCAATATTTCGGATAGAAATGTAAAAAAAAAAAATGCTCTCATCACTTTAAAACCAGTATAATTATCGTTTTGCTCGACTTTAAACTATATTAAAAATTATGTACTATATAACGGATAAAAGAACCAATAGATGCGTTTATTGCGATTTTTTCTTTCCGGGATTATACGTTTTGTAACTCCGGATTTGTAGAGTCTATAACAATATGGTACGAATATTTTGAAATTCTAGAAATATACGGTCCGCAATAATACAATTTGTTGCGTTTATTTTTTTCCAGATTTCTACAATCTGAGACTATACGGTTTACGTATAGTCCGGATTAATACGGTCCGTGAGATTACTTTCCGGGATCTTATGGCTTCCCTCTTCAACGTGACCTTGTGGGTCTTAACGAGAATGTTCTTTTTTACGTCTGGTAATTCAGAAAGATTTGCATTGTATGTATCTATTAAAATTGTATGCGGGAAGATCCTGTCATTCCAGGACACCTACCACCCTTTATAACGGTTGTCTGTTATTAAAATAACATTGCGAGAATTTATAAAAAACAATAAAAACGTATTTTTTATGAATTTAAGTTATAAATTCTCATAGCTCTACTATTTTTCATTTCATTCGCAATAAATTAAAATAGGTACTTAAATAATCGATGAAATGTAAAATAATTTATGTTTTATATTATTATGTATATCATATAAATATTGTTAATTTTGTCTATTACCGTTTTTCTTCGGTATATTTACAGGAATACGAGTACATTCCCAGCTTATCTACATTATCTGTACAGGTGGATAAAATATTATTAAAATATATTTTGCCGTACTAAACACTGGTGAAGGTGCATATGTTTTTTTTCTTTATCGTTTTAGAAATTTTAAAACATTTCTAATCGGCATTATTTATTCGTATAAGTTGAAAACGCGCAATTCACAATTCACAAGGAATGTCTTCCAGTGCGCAAATTTAAATAGGTATAGGCATTTTTTTTTTTAATTTCTCCAATTTTTTATCTCCTAACTTTTTATATAATTATATAAGTAATAAACAACGCCGTCAGAAATGTATGTAAGATAATTTAAATTCACTTATAACACAGTCCCGAGCACGACATTTTGCAAGGAAGTATTTTTAGTCTAAATGGACACATAAAGAAAGATTTTTGGAAAGACCAAAAAATAAGAGAGAGGTTTGGACTCGTGAAGCTTTTTTCGGACAATGGGAAATGGACACGCAGTGAATATCTACTAGAAAATGCCCTGATTTTTCACTTGTTTAATACAAAGGTTTATAAAATTCCACAAAATGTCGATGCGTGGTTTATTTCGCAATAGTGTATTTAAGGGTAAGATAAAGGAGACATATCTCCGTGACCTTTTTAAGGATCTATTATTTATCTGACTATCTATTTTAGATTATGAGTTTAGCGAAGAATATATTGGTTTTACGAAGATGTTCATTTCTTTTTTTCTTTTTTTTTTATGTGAACACTTTTTCTACTAGAAAGCTTACATCGATTATCAAGTATACCATCTTTTCTGAAAGGAAATGTTCTCTGGGTGGTACTTAGGGAGATTATTTTTTGAAATTTTCATTAATATTTGGGATATAGAGAATAACCTGGTTCTTTAGGTTAAAAATGATTGTAAGATTAAAAAGGACGGACATACTTTGCACGTGGGAGCAGCCACTGTTGTAAATGGGAAGTTGAGAAGGTAGGATAAAGATGGGAATTTAATGTATATCTGTAAGCAACGATAAACTATTGCTAACGAAAAAACGATTCTGAGTCGAGTTTAGTTGATAATGTTGCTTTGTGAACAATACAATATATGGTATTATGTCATGTTATGGTCAAATAATTACAACAATGTGTGTTTCCATAACAACAATGATTGTTTAAAAAAATATTAAAATAATAAAAACTTAATAATAACAAAAAATACATAAAAATGGTTGCAAATGACGACCTTATTTTTAATCTAAAGAATCAGGTTTATCTCAATATCTCGAATATTAAAGAGAATTTCAAAAATTTACCTGTCTAAAATACCATCCAAAGAATATTTCCTTTCAGAAAAGTTGTTATACTTGATAATCGGAGTATGCTTTCTGGTAGAAAGTATTCACAAAAAAAAAAAATAATACAAAAATAAACATCATAGTAAAACCAATACATTCCTCGTTTCATCTAAAATAAAGTTGTCATTGGCAACCGTTTTTATTTATTTTAGATATTGAGTGCAGCGAAGAAGCTTATATTTTTACAATGATGTTTATTTTTTTTTTTATCTATGCTTAACTTTTCTTCCAACAATTTCACTCCAACTTTTAATCATAACAATGTTTTTAAAAGGAAATTTCACTGGCGATGTACTTTAAAGAGGTTATTTTTCGATTTTCCCAGCAAATGTGAAAAACCTGGTTAAAACATGGGAGACGTAGGAAAACTGGGATACAACTGGATACTACATTAAACAAATATTACTAAGAAAATATATAAAGCCTTTTTAATTATGTAACTATAAAATGACATAAATATTGTTGACAAAGCATTACTATCAACTTAATTCCACTCAAAATCGTTTTTTCGTTAGCAGTGGTTTATCGTTGCTTACAGATATACATTAAATTCCCGTCTATATCCTACCCTCTCAACTTCCCGCTTACGACAGTGGGATTTTTTTCATTTTCTTTAGATTTAGTCAGAAAAATCAAAAATGCGCTGATATCTGAAGAATATATTTAAAAAAGACCTGAATGTATATATTTTTTTGTTAAAAACTAAGTTAAATCTGAACCACTTGAATATGAAATAAGTTAATTTAGGACTTAAATAGTGAATAAACTGCCCATCAATAGTAATTAATAATATAGTAATATCTATTTTATACGATATATATGTACGATTATATACGTTCCATCATTTCTGTATTGATATATAATATAATAATTATATAATGTACTTAAATATTGTTCCGAATATATTGTTTATTTGTATTACAATTAGTTATTTCATTACGATGACTATTTAAAACATTAATATAATGATTCTAATACATTCGTGTGTATCTATTATGAAAACCTCTGTCGACCTATAAATATAAAAATTACCGGATAATTTTAAATGTAATAAGTTTTATTAAATGCGTAAATTACTATTCGTCTACTACATATCCAAATCAACTAAATAATAATATTATATACTTACACGTAATAAAAAATAATATTATATTTGTAATAAAGCTTAAGTGTGCGTTAAATCAAAAAAAAAAAAAAACAATTTAGACTAATAGTAGTATTATTATTGTTTTAAAATAACAATGTTAACTAAGATATATTATATATTATGATTACATAAATTATTTTACTATAAATAATTATCGTAAATATAATATAATAGTTATTATTACTATTAATTATTATTATTATTATTATTATTTTTTTTTTTTTTATTTGTACGATTAAAGGATGCCATTTGTATTAGTAATAAACAAGTACATAAATATGAGAAATTCAAAATAGCTTTACAAATAATTTTATTATAATATAGTCTCGTGATAATTGTTTTGAATAATAATAATAATAATTAATCGTGTTTACTACAATATTATAACAAATATTAAGTACTTTGAACCAGTACAATGTACTTATGTTATTATACAATTGCAACGATAATGAATATATTTTAGTTTACCGTAATATATGCAATAATATAATATAATATAATATATGCATTTGTATTATATTTTCATAACACTAAACACCGTAGGTATATATAGAATTATTAATTTCACAACATTGAACATAAAACTTAATATCATAATAATTGTATATTAATAATTTTTTTTAAAGCATTTATTCAAATATTAATAATTATAATAATAATCGATATGTTTCTACAAAATAGATTAACAATTAACGCGATATCAATGAGATTTTCAAACATCCCGCCTACAACCGAATGCTTCATGTAATAATATTTCGTTGATTAAAAACCATAGACCTATACTCTATATAGGTATTAAAAAAAAAAATAGGCTTATAGTGGAGATAGATAAACATTGTAAGACAAAGTAGCAAATAATTTCCGTCCAAGTTCGTCTGTACCCATTAAGAGAGCGGGAGAAGTTATTAACGACAAAGATAGCACACCTTAGCAGTCCTCATTGTGTATGCGTAAGTATATTGACATAGATGTGTTTACGAGTATTGCATCTTTTTTTCTAGATTATTATTTTTAATTTCAAAATTCCGCAAAATAATTGAATTTTATCCCCCCTACATCAAACAAATTATAAAATAATACTAGATAAAAATGTAGAGCACGTAACATAACACAACTGTTACGACTATCCGATGATAATACAGAATACCCAATAACTATTATACCTAAAAATACTATAAACGTGTGTAGTATTAATTTGCCATTATGGTATTACCCAGCTATCAAAGTATCTAGGTCAAAATTGGTGTTTCCTAACTATTAACGTTTATATATTCGTGTACAATTAACATGTATTCCTACAAAATTCATTTATTTCAGTAAGAAAACGTCTCAATTACTGTTTTCGTCAAAATTATAAAAGGGATGATTTAGTCTCTTAGTAGGATTTTCTCGGATACCGCCTAACTTAAACCAGTATTTACGAATCTGTCCGATTACTCTAAAAGTCCTATCATTGAAATACGTGATCACTGAAACTAAATTCAAGTGTATTCGTATTATCATTTGTTTAGGACTTTAAAAGCATTATTAGGATACTTTTGGGTAAGTATATTTTTTTCTTACAATGTCGATAACTACTAGGCAACCTAAAACAGGGTGTTAGGAACCCTTTCAGTATTTATACATCTATGGTCTATGGATCATAGGTATACAAATATGTATCTGACAAAAAAATAAATTTTTTTGCATAGGTTTTTATTATGTATTTTTTTTTTTTTAAATACAGGAATTTTTTATGGTTTGGGCTTGAAAAAATTATGACTTTCGAAAATAATATTCTTCCCCCGTCGGATAAAAAAACTGTCAGTATTGTGAATATACTAAATAGAACACATACACACACACATAATGTAATTTACTCGAAGTATTAGTATATCATATTAGTCAATACCTATGTTTTAATGGCACCCTTCAACGAATATAATAATTTTATATTGTTTGACAACACACTGTTAAAAATTAAATAATATCGCTAATAATATGATTGTGGGTAATAATTTTAGCGGATCGTCTATAAATAAAAATATTACGTAAAACTGTTTAATGGTAATAACCATTTTCTGGCAATTCTTCGTTGTCGATAATTGGTTTACGGTCGTCTTCGGTTTTTTGTCTTTTCTGCTTGGACTTGTTTATGGCGCCCCAAGTCTTACCAGCTTCGGATGACGATAGCAATACCGAATAGGAAGTCACGTCGTTTTCTTTGCTGTGGTGAATTCCGTACAAGAAGTAAATCAAAATACCTTTAAATAAGATGTTATAACAATTATAATTATGTATTTTGCACAATATTTCTCATTGTTGTCGATTTATTATAATTACCTATGACCATCCATATCAAAAATCTGATCCAAGTAAGCAAATTAAGATTGGTCATCAACACGATGTTGCACACGATACTCAGGGCCGGTATTAAAGGCACGTGGGGTACCATAAATGGTAGTTCGGTCGAGTTTTGTTCATGGGCTTCGATTAAAATTATGCCTGAAAGTAATAATTAATAAATACTTAGTAATTACCAACTAAATTAGCCGACTCTATAAGTAAATCAGAATCTCGGTGGTCATATACTAACAAGGTAAATTGTATTGATTAGCCAATGACTTATTTGTTAATATTATACAATATTATATCATAATATAAAAAATAGTTTAAATCAATCACAAATTTGTTTTGTGTTATCACATTAGTTCATGACCTAAACTAATATTTCACGGGTTAATCAATATAATTTGTATTATAGGATTAATATTATTACTTTGTTTCTTATACCAAATCGCACATACTTACATCCAACTAAATCAATGGCTAATAACGTTATCACTACAATGTCTACCCAATTAATGTTATCGATATTGAACCAGTATTGTATATAAACACACAATATAATAGTGGAATTTGTAAAACAAGCCATTGCCATACAAACAGCGGTGCCCGCTTCTAAATCCCCGAAAATCCAATCTATACATTTGTACGATGGTTTTAAACGTCCGCCCATGTCCATTTCGAACGACTATGAAAAAAAAGAAAATATACAAAAATAACAAACCAGTATTATTATACCAGTCTGAAATTCCTTTTTGTTATAGTAAAACGTATCTTACATCTGCCTGCGAAGTCGGAATTTCTAGGAGACTACTGGAATCGCGCACCAGGCCCCGGTTGGTCGGTTGGTACCTTAATATTACTACAGATGCGCTGACGATGGTATAAGCCAACAGTGTACCGATCGACATGAACTCCACCAATTTTTCCAGATCGAATAATAACGCTATCAACGCGCACATAAAGGCAGATATAGCTAAATTGATTAACGGCACCTGTAACGTAATATTTTATTTATATTTATTTTTTATTTTTTATGATATTTATTTTTGGTTTTTTACAAAAAACATTATCATACCTTGTACACGTATCATAATTAAAAATAAATAAAATAAAATCACCTTTACAAATATACCACAATTTTATTTATACACACTTGAGTTTTTTTGTTGACTTTAGCCAAGAATTTAAATATCAATCCGTCGTCGGCCATCGCATAAATACATCTGGGCAACGAGTACAGTGATCCTAAAAGAGTAGTAGTCATTCCGCACAACGCTCCAACCGATACTAAATACTTGATCCAGTGTAGGTCTAGACCGGCAAATGCAGCCGGAAAAGCTGCGTCCGGATGGATGGACCAGTATGGGACCAAAAATGTCAACGCTCCGCTCACCAACACATAACCTATTTAATATAGTAAACAAATTACAGTAGGAATTTCATATAATTTTTAAAATATTATAAAATATTGAAAAAAGTTGGAAGGAAAAATAAAACATTTTACTAGTACTTACTAGTACTAGTACTTACATTATAGTAGTATTGAAGTTGTATATTATCGTTCCTAAGAATTTTAAATAGACGAGGAGAGAATTTACTAAATAATAAGTCGTCAGTTTTAATTTTCAATCATAATATTTATTGTAACATGGCTGAAATATTTAAATTTCAAGATTGAATTACTAAATACATATTTATGGTCGTATTTCTAAGCCAATGGGGGAGAGGTTAAATTCCTCAATATTATCTATGATAATTTTAAAGAAAAATTGTATTTTTTTGTTTGTCATTTAATTATAATCGTTTAGAGATTCTATTTTCTCTATATTGCCTTATCGGACCCCATATTTGTATACCTTCGATAAATTAATGCAAATAATGCAACGAATTTAGATTCGATTTAAAAATTTTACATCAGTCATGTCTGTCTTTTTACTTTAATAATGCATTTTATAGATTTTTTTGTCTGTAAACTTTCAATACCTACAGATATTGTTATAAACCTTGTAAATATAATATTATTTATCTTTATTGTCTTATATTATAAGGCAAATTTAATGCCTGTTACAGTTATGACTGTTCAGTCATACATAATTATACAAACGGAACATCTGTGAGGTGTACCTGTGCAAACAACGCTCATGGCGATAATCGTGGCCACTGGTATGGAGTACGCCGGGTCTTTGGCTTCCTCGCCCGACGTGGCAATACTGTCAAACCCGACGTATGCGTAAAAACAAGTGGCCGCACCCATAATAACACCCTTTATTTTGAACGGCATGAAACCGCCGTAGCTGGACCAGTTGTCGCTATTTCCGTAGTAGTACCCGGCACCTATGATGACGACTATCACGCTCAAGTTGACCAACGTCAGGAAGCTGTTCATGTACGAAGAAGTCTTGACGCCAACCCCTGTGATTGAAAAATATGGTTAAAAAAATTAAATAATTCGAGAAGTAATACGAGTGATAAATAAAATAGCAAATATTAAAAAAAAGTTTATACTGCTCGCGAATAAGCCACTATAGCCACATATAGTATTAGAATTTTGCCTTACAACCAAAAATTTCGAAAAATATAATTTCCCTAAGATTCTTAGATTATCGACATTTGTTTTTTTTTTTTTAATGCAATTGTTCATTTTCCTATGAATCGGTTAATAATTCTTTGGTAAAAATACTTGTTTTTGTAATTACTTGAATCGTTGTAGACCTTTTAACAGTCATCCCAACTAGAGATACAGGAACGCAGTTTTTTTTTTAAATTCTTGGCACGTTGTCACCGTAGTTTTACTAACCTAATATACAAGCGTGGATCAAACATATGAAGAACGCGAACACGTCTGGATATTTTCCCAGGAGCGTTTCGTGGAGTTCACCTAACATGGATACAGTCGTGTTCCTGATGACGTTGTCGAACATCGAATCGAAAAATCCGCTCCAAGCTCGAGCCACGGATGCTGCACCTGTAAACAAATACGTTATTTTATGCACAGTGCATACGAATAAATCACTGTAATGTACAGATGTGTATTTTATAACCTTGTACTTTGAAATCGATAAATTATTATTTCTTTTGAAAAACGATTCAGAACACGCAGTGTAATATAATATCCTGGATTTAATAAAAAAAATCGTACATTTTAAAACCTATACAATTTTAAAATAACCGAATCAGGTTTTGCTGTTTTTAAACAAACATCGTGCTAAAAAAAATATCGCTGGTTTTACGAAGGCACCAACGAAAAATGTAAAAAAACTCACACACACACAAACACGCATCATAGTAAAACCAACACGCATTCCTTACTTTGCTCTGCAGAATCTAAAATCATATACTTACTGAGCCTTTATAGACATATTATAGTGTATTATTTTATAAAGTTGTCGAACGAAATTTTTCAAGTATAGCAGCATTTGCAAAATAAAGTACATACAAAAAAAAAGACGTCTTAAGATAACGGGTGCAGCCACTGTTATAAGTAATTTAATGTAATCTGTTAGCAACGATTAACCATTGCTAACGAAAAAACGATTCTGAGCGGAGTTCAGTTGATGCTTTGTCAACAATATATATGTACTATAATGGCAAAATAATTAAATAGGCATTATTTAAATATTATCTTTAATAATATTTACTTAATGTACATATTTCGTACAATTTCCCGTTTTTCTTCAGTTTTTTTTTGGTTTTTACATTTGATGAGAAAACTCCTAAGAAAATCGAAAATGACCTCTTTAAAATACCTTGCTAGTGAAATGTATTTTTAGAAACATTGCTATCATTGTTAGTTGGAGCTAAATTGTTGGTAGAAAAGTTGTCCACAGAAAAAAAAATAAAAAATAAATAACTTTAAAAAACTATAATAGCTCCTTTGCTCCATTCAGAATCTAAAACAAATATTAATAATCATTAATACCTACTCCGAACCACTCTGATCAGAATATAAATACAATTATATTATACGATAGAATAGTATGCAATACTCGATCGCATGAACACACAGGTACACGTTGTCTTAGCGATCTAAAGAGAGAGGTGAACACGAAATCATGAACACTATAGATGTATATAAGCTTCTCTACTATGAACGAGAATTTCCACATGCTTACTAAACAAATTTCATTGTTAATTAGTAGAGCATATTTTCAAAATGATTTCTCAAGCAATCTTACAATATACGATGGTTTTATGAAACTATAAAATTCGATATACACAAATTAGATAGTGATACTAGTGAACGTTTATAATAATATTCTAGTGAAAAATAAACCGAAAAATATTTTTGCATAGTTTATCAAATAGTATTGTAAGTCGCTATAATAACATATTTAAATTTACGTGTTTAATCGATGAAATACGAGTAAAAAATAAACTATATTCCTAAAATAAACTATTAACTAAAATAAATTTGATTCCATTTGAGGCGCGCCCAAGAGGGTAGGACCTCAGAGTTTAGCTCCTTTCTAAAATAAGGTTTATCAACACAATTATTAATGTAAATCATTATGGTGCTACGTGTAGAGAATTTGTATTTAAATTGTTTTCTATCTAAATTCAAATTCCTTAATAGTCCCACCCAATAAACGTAATAATAATAATTACTATAGTAATTTTTGTATCACTAAACGAGTATAACTTTATATTTTGTACTTTTTAATGGAACCTATATTCAAGTAATAAATTCATATTTTCCATATTAATTGTAGGAACTAGATTTTTATTTAGGTTATATTTATACTATTTAGAAATAGTAAACAAAGTAGGTATATTAGTAGTATATAGGAAAGTATAGTTTAATATTTTAAAATTAATAATTTGTGGAAGGTAATAACAATAATAAAACTTTGGTACCGTCGTTGTTGTAAGCTTTTTATACGTCAATTTTCCATGCTACTATCATTTTTTAAATTTAACCCAGAACCATCACTTAGTAACGATTAACGAGTAAAATGTGTGTATTTATTATAGTAGATACCTATACCAAATTCGATCAATAATAAAGAACTTTTTTACACTACCAAAATAATAATAATAAAAAAATATTCTAGAAAAAAAACACATAAATGAAAGTGTTTTATAAACGAGATAAATCGATAAATTCGGGTTTCATAAACAATATATTACAATATTATTATATATATCATAAACCAGGGCTAGAAAACGAAAAAACAATTCAACAGAAATATAGGCGATGCATAGATATTGTTTTTAACAGTAAATAGTTTATATATATAGTTAGTAGAATTGCTTTGAATCGAGAAATATTTTTCAAATAATGTGCTGTGCGAATAGTTTGTAGGATTTTAGCTTGACGACAATGTACCAAGAAAAAAAAATATATTTTAGTAAAACTTATTAACTTATTTGTTTTATGCTCAGAATCTAAAATATACTAGAAATAGTAAATTTTAATCGAATATTTTTGATTGTGACTAATGCGTTAAATATGAAAAAGCATTTGTTGAATATTAAAATTTTTAATTCTAGTATTAAAAAGTAGATACTTTTTATGAGCAGTATTCGCCAAACACAAAGAAAATAGTTTCTTACCTAACTACCTATCTAATTTTTCTCAACAATTTAATATAGACTTAAAAATTTCGATAGAATACATTTTCCATAGTATTTCGTTCACCAATCGATAGAAAAATTACAGGTTCTCAAAAATGTAGAAAATATTAGATACTTATTTATACTGATACTTATTTAGATAGAGCAGTCAACTGTAAATTTTATCGTGAATAAACCAGTTATTTCAGATTTCAAATGTGGTTCAACCACATTTCAGTTTTTTAATAAGGATGCAAACATTTGAATCAGACCTAATTCTCTGAAAATTTGATGATGCCTCTAAATTCTGGAATAAACACAACACTGCAAAAACGATGTTAGTGCGTAATTTACAATTAAATTATAAATGTCGAATTGAACAAACAAATGTAGATATCTAAATTACTGCAGCATAGTAAATTATATTTGCCTTCTAAACGCATCTTTGTTAGGTAGGTACTATCTACTATTTGGTTAAACAAATATAAAACGCGGCATTGTAAAATAAATTGCTATTTCATTCCACTCGGACTGACGTTTTAAATCCACATACATATTTTATAAACCCTGAAATCTATTTGCTTTAATTGTAAAACGTATTGATCTTTGTACCACTAATGTATTTTTTTATAATTTTAGTTCTTAGACCAAAACACAATTTATCTTTAAAAAGATGAATTAATCGAACACAAAGGATACATTTGACTTATAAAGTATATAGACTTTTTAGGATTTCGGTGTTTGATACTTGGAATAAAATGTGAAAAATCTTAGAAATTATTATGTCTTCCATTTGAGAATATATTTTGTTAAATAATTTCAATTATTGAATCGTAATAATATTGAGTATTCATGATTCGAGTTTGTCTACGAGGACAATAATTTTAGCTGAAGAATCGACTTAATTTTGGTATAACTTGTATAAGGTAACACATAACGTAAATACAGGCATTCAAATATAGTTATGGTAAGTCTGTTTGGTTTTTGAACTTCCTATACGTCCTCAATTTTATATTTCTCGTTAGTCATTCATTCCAATTTCAATAATATATCAACAAAACAATGTTTAAATATTATCACCACAGTTCCGTTTGCATATTATCATATATTTTTCGCATTGATATTTAACTTATGGATATGTTAGCAGACGTATCCAAATGTCCATTATTTCATTTGCTTTACGCCCGTCACTCTGTCGTAGCCTCGTGGATTATTTGTACAGATAATAGTGGATGAAAACTACAAGTACCCATGTCATAGCATATTGTATGTATATTTTTGTATAATATTGTATATTATTATTTATTAATATATTAATAAATTGTGTGATTAATAATTTTGATAATAATTGTTACTATTTATTGGTGTGTGTAGTAGCTATAGTTATTGGTAGTTTTTATTTTTCGAAAATTGATGGCATACTATTATAATCATTATTCAATCACATAATTTTGAATAATAGTGTGAACACTATTATAATTATTACTATTATTATTATTCACTATCTAAAAATAGTGCGTAAGGACTCGTAAGATATATATTATATTCATAATACTTAATGGTACATTTTAATTTAATTACAATAATCAAACGATTTATTTTAACTTTTTCAAACAACCCTAATTTTTTACGAACATTATTATTATATGATATGGTTAAGGAGCAAATACAGCGTCAGTGTACGATTGCGCGCGTTTTACATTTTTGGGTATACGACTGCGCGCTGTGCCGGAATAACAGAGAATATGATTTTGACCTGTCAAAAGCATATGATTGCGTGTGATATTGGAAGCGAATTTCCCCCTGGTTTTTCGGTTTTTCACATTGCTGGGAAAACTCCTGAGAAAATCGAAAATGACCTCTCTAAAGTACCTCCCTAGTTAAATTTCCTTTCAGAAAGTAATAATCTTAATAGTAATGGATTTAAGTAATAATCGCCATAATCCGATTTACCGTGTACTATATAATTTTATTAACCTATATATTTGGCAACGTTGCATAAAAATAAAATAATATAATGCGCGCAGTCGTACGCCTAAAATGGTACCACCGATACGGACCGCGCGTAATCGTTTCATAGCTAAATAGAAAGATATAAAACGAAATACATCAAATTTGAATTTCGCCCAAGCATACATTTTGTCTAGAGCTTTTCGTAATTGTCTTAAAAACCTTCGGTAAACAAATGAATAGTTGTATAACTAAAGAGTTTTAATCTAACCTCTCTATAAAAACCATATCATTTAATTTCACTTTTCTTTTTAATCTGAGGGACATTTATAGAAAGGACCTTTATTGGTGCATATTTTATATAGTCCGTGAGTAAGTAATTTGTTTTTTCAAATTGGTTAGGTAATTTTTGTAATAATTGAGAAAATAATATTGTAACCGGCAATCCTCAACGTTGGCGTATTACAGTAATATGTACCTACAGTGAAACGAATTTGTTTTTAATAAATTTAACTTTGAACATAAATAAATATAAAAATAACATGTACCTATTGCTGGAGAAAGTGTATATTTTTAAATTGTCAGTTATTAATTTGTTTGTGTGGTTGAATATTTGATTTTTTGTGCCTAATCTCTCCCATAATAAATTTCTAAATACGCCCCTGTAGATAATTTCATTAGTTTACTTTTTTATAAATTTGTTTTAAAAAAAAAAGTAATACAAATATTGAAGTTATAAAAATACTACAACCCACAATCCTCGCTTTTATTCACTGCCAATATGATATATGTAATTTCGCCAAATTAAAATAATATTAAATTTAAAAAAATATATAATCGTACAGTTATTATTATTTTATCATAATATTTATTTTTTGTTCTATAACAGTTCATATATTACATACATTTTACATCTAACAGTAAGTCCGGTATGGTCTAGTGGCTAGGATACCTGGCTTTCACCCAGGAGGCTCGGGTTCGATTCCCGGTACCGGAATTAATCTTTTTGTCCAATGATTTTTTTTTTTTGAAATAATAAATCGTTATTCCAAAAAATTATTTTTTATAGTTAAACATACAAAATAAACTTTTTTTTTCATATAAGTTCTTATTTGTAAATAAACAAATAATTTTAATTGTTAATCATTGTTTACAGATGTACAGTGAATTACCTATAACAGTATCTCCATTATCTTCTAGTACAGTTTTTTAAAATTTTATTTTTTTATTTTTGACTGTATATTAGTATAATTTTTAATGTATATTAGTATAATTTTTACTGTATATTATATTTTATATTTAATACTTTTTATTGCATATAAGTCCACGCTCTAGCTATAATAATAACCTGGTTTAAATATAATCGATAAATCTCAAGCAATAAATATGGTTTATGTATACGGTATACATAAAACTGCATATAACATACTGTATATTAAAATAAATAAAATATGGTTCGAATGCCTGTACATTTTCACTAAAATCATTAGGTTTTAGAAGGAATGCGTGCGTTGGTACATCGGATTGCTATATTCGAGTACCTTTTACGCCGAGATCTTTTACAATGAACGATAAGTTTTCATAATTTAATGGTTTAATGGTACTTATATGTATGTGAAATTTAAACTATGTAATATTTGACGAACAGATGCACTTTAATCAGCTAACTGTATATTTGTCAAGCTATACGGCAAAGGATAAAAACCTCCGATTCCGCCAGGTTATCATCATCACTCCAATCATCGAATCGTTCTTAATAATCGCTTGACTTTGATATTCGTGTTCACTGCGTTACAGACAGGCGAGGAGATAAAGAAAATATAATTGATTAGGTTTTCTTTTTCTTTTTTTTTAATATGATCAACATAAATATTTAAAAAAAATAATATTAAAATAACCTTTATGTATTTAAGTCCAATAATGAATGACACGACGAGAATTGATTTAAACGGACAGCACTGGCCGCGGCCAATACTAATTACAAACACAGTTTATGAAACCAATAACGTACATACTGAACAATTCAGCAAAAGCATTTTGTTTTATTTAACTATTTACATTGTATGATAATATTATGAATGTGATTTATTCAAAATGTATTAGAATAGAGTTGGCTTTCCGCGGATCGGTGAACAAATTTTTTTATGGGACAAGTACTAGTTAATAATTTGATTCGCCCGCAAATCGAATATCACTCAACACGCCACTGCGTATTACGCAGTATAACGTAGTAACGTATATTAACACATATGGTCTAGAGTATTTTTTATTTAATCCCGCGGTACACGCCTATGTAATAGAGAATATTATTATGAACTAGTCGTTAATGTAGTTACTGTAATTTATAAATGACGCAAGTATAATGAAAAAAAAATTCTGCCGATTTGGTATAAATATATACGCTCGTTCCTTATATATATACAAGTATATATATATATATAAGGATACCGTGAAATATATTATTAACGTATATTACCGTGAAATATATTATTTACTAATATACGAGTATAATTAGTCTTACCTTACTAGGTTTTAATTTAGTTTAAAAAAATTATATTACAAGTACATTGTATATATATGTTGGATACCTTCCTACTACAATTAATTACAATAATATTATGTACCTATACATAAATAAATTAAAAACCGATCTGTTTATATTACCGAATTTCAACTCAATTAAAATACATTATAATTGCATACTTGTTAATTTTTAGCAAAATTGTTATACTAATTGTATTGTATTTTATCGTTAACGAACGACTGTTATTATTATAATACCTATGTAATTGGACCTGGCCCGTGTAAATTTAAAATTTAAATAAATAAAATGTATTATTAATGAGGATGGATACCTAAAGTTAATTTTTGTTTATTCTAACTCCCAACTAATACATACTAATATTACATACATAATACTAATACATATTACATAATATAGCCTATGTGTGATATATTTTTAACTAAGAACTAAGAACGGAAATGAGTTCCGCACTCTCTAATCCCGTTTAGTTATGCCACTGACATCTATACACGAGCAGTGGTAACCGCTACATACTTATAGGTCTGACATTCCTCAATTTTGGAAGAAAAATGATTGTGTCAATTAACCGTTGCTGCTGAAGTAACTCGGTATTATAATACATCAAGTCAGCATAGACATGAAAATCGAATTTCAAGGACGTGAAACGAGTCAGGGAGGAGTTAATATAATACCGATCAATGCCATAGGTACTAATGAAGGATTAAAAATATAAGAATCGCACTGAACATTAATCTAGCATTATTATTACAAGGAAAAAATTCCACGCAGAAATGGTGAGGTGGGGTTATGCGAAATCAGTTTTAAAGTGCATACGGACATTCATATATAATAAGATTTACTTCAATTTTCAATTTATCGACTTTCAACATAAATTTATACGGATCTGACTAAAATAATTATACTCTAGAGTCGTACCTATACAGAAAATTTGGACAACAATTACTTATTCAAAGAAATCAAAGATTAGCCATTAACGAGTTATTAAGTTAAAGCTGAGTTACTTTATTTAACTTTTTAATTTAATAAGTTATTTTTTTCTTAACAATGAATATTAGTTGTCAACTTAAAAAGTACAAAATAATTAACTTTTCATTAATAACAGATAATTATACATTTAAACAAATTAAGTAGACTTCAATTTTAGATTCTAAGTAAAGCGATGAATCTATTTGTTCGGTCTGTAAACAACTGCAGGTCGTGAAATTCATTCTAATCGTGAATTAAAACGAAAATACATTATATGAAAATAAAAAAATATGAGTTAACAATATATAGTGTAAGAATACTTTCAGGGTCTTCTAAATAGCATATCATATTCAAATTTTCCATGAAATATTTGTTTTTAAAAAAATAACTTGTATATAGAAACTTTTTATTATATTTTAATAATATTTTTCATATATTTTAAAATGTTACATTGTTCTTATTTTTTCACCCTTATTTTTGGTGGTAAATCACTTTTCAATTTTAATTTTCAAATATCAACCTATATTAAAACTTCATCCATTTAAGGAATTTAAAATTTGTAAAATAAAAATAAAACATTGACGCAAACGATACCGTTATATTTTTAACATTTTTTTTGAGCCCAAGTCCCTTGAGTTATGCATACTACTGCGATAACCTTTCCACGATAATATAATAATGGTCGGTTTTTGATAATTGAAATCGATACAAAACACGTGGCTACATCACATAATATCAACTCATTACTATATAATATTCTGCATAAACATAGGTAACTGCATTATGTTAATAACGAGTAATGACAATAATTATTATCAAAAATGTTGAGAGTAAAATGTTAATGATTATAAACCGCAATATTAAAATTATTATTATTCTCCAACTTAATTCATTAGTTAAAGTGAATAAATAACAAATCCGGTTACTATATTTAATTATGTGTACTTATTTTTTTTAAAAAATGGTGGCAATATAATTGAAAATTAGGCGGATAACCTTCGTATCGAAGTAAATAATATTATCATGATATTTATACGGTCTTATTTACTGTTTTCTATATTATAAATGAATATAATAATATTGTTGTACTATGACAGTGGTTTTGTACCTGTAAACAACTTTTCTATCAGAAATTTTACTCCAAAGTATAAAGTATATAGTACCTTTTCTGAAAGAAAATTTTGTCTAGTTGGTGCAAATCAGAGAGGTCATATTTTGATTTTTGACAATTTAAGAAAGAAGTAGCCATCTAAAATATTAAATTTTTATTATTTTTTGTCACTCTTATATTTTAAGGGGTGAAGACATTTTTGATTTTCAGGAATTAAGATATGATTATCGTAAATTTGTATAGTTTAATAATATTAATATTTTATTACTTATTTCAACTCCCAAACGTGTGTGTTTTTGAGAGGTGGTATTTAAGAGGTATTCTACACTGTTAAACAACATGGAAAAATGACCATTACTTAGAACATAAATAACTATGGCATTGAAGTTGAAATTATAGAATTAGAACAAATAAAAAAAAAATGAGAGATATTTTTTTGGAGGGGGGGCGTATTGCTATTTATCTTATATATTACAGACATATCAGTTTTTAGTTGTTGTTCCCGTTTTTGTTTGATAATATTTGAGAAAAAAGGTACTTCGAAAATATTCACCTCTTTAAATTCTGTAATCTGCAGTCGATGTTGGATCCAGGGGTTTTATATATATACTAGCTGAATTACCCGGCGTTGCCCGGAAACGAATTCGTGACAAATTAGATAACGCCATGTATTACCATTTACCGTCTTAAATTCATAATTATCGATAAACTTCTCGGAACAATTTTATTCTCGGAATCATTATTCTTATCTACACGACGACGACGACGACGACGAACAAAAAGGATTGGTTGCTGGTAGCTGGAGACCCGCGGGCCGCCGTGCCGCACAACACGTATTGGCGGTGAATAATTATAATTGTTAATTACTCCACTAAAACGCAACATTTTTGAAAATCCCTCCTTATTGCACGGTGAAAATACGAGAAGAACATATATTCCAAATTTCAAGTCCGTACGTTACGTAGTTTTCGAGATACAGCGATCAGTCAGTCAGTGGTATTTGGATTTTATATGTATAGATATAAATATATAAATATATATACATTGTATTATGATATAATATTATACGATTTAATAATTGTAACTTATAATATTAGAACATTAGAATCACGTGAAAAAAACAAGGTCTAAGGGAGGGTGATCGAAGTGTTTTATCCACCTTACCCTTGTATTGACCACTGTCTGCAGTATTTAAACCAAAACGCCACAGTTTACGTTCCGTGTAATGTTGCCATGTCACTCGTTAGCCTGATACAGCAAATGCTGACTTAACTTAATACATTTTTATTATTTGAAAAAGACTAGAAGTTGTTTTATGAATAATTACTACTGCCGTTACCTACGGCGAAAATTCGACGTAGACTAATATAATAATAGGTACTTAAATCCAAACTAACAGAAACGCCCCGCAGCATCAATTTCGGAAGATTGGCGTTTACGTATAAGGACACGCGATTACCAGAATCTAAAAGTATTAATATTGTTTTTTTTTTTTTTTACACATTTTTATCACATGTTTATTAGGTATTAAAATTATATGTTACCGTAGTATTATAATAAAAAAAAACGGATATACTTCGCACGTGGGTACAGCAACTGTTGTAGGTGGGAAGTTGAGAAGGTAGGATACAGACACGGCAATTTAATCTATATATGTAAACAACGATAAACCATTTCTAATAAAAAAACGATTCTAAGCGGAATTCCATTGATAGTGTTGCTTTTTTAACAATATAGGTATGTCATATTATGGTAAAATGATAACAACAATGTGCATTTCCACAACAATGATTGTTTAAAAAATATTAAAATAATAAAAACTTAATAACAACAAAAAATAAATAAAAACGGTTAGCAATGACAACCAATTTTTAATCTTTCAATCTTTTTTAACCTAAAGAACCATGTTTTCCTCATTGTCTCGAATGTTAATGAAAATGTCAAAAAATGATCTATCGAAAGTATCACCCAGAGAACATTTTTCTTTCAGAAATGTGCTATACTTAATAATCGGAGTAAGCTTTACTTGTTTCAAATAATTTTGAGATCCCAAATCGGGTCTCATGGCAGCCAAGTTATTAAAACGCCGCGCGCTGTCCCGCCACACAAAAAATGTTCCACCACTCTCTCCCGACCATAATTTAAAAGCTAAAAGTTAACGAATTAACGAAAATCAAAAATTTTAACACCGATATTTTTTTAAACTAATAATCCATCTATTTATGGAATTTTTAATATAGGTAGTCATTTAAAAATCAAAATTAAGTGGTGGTTTTACCCCCCAAAATAAATGAGACAAAAATTAACATAAATGTAAAATGTAACATAACCGTGTTATGCGATAACATCGGTTTTCAGGATTAGTAAAATTTAAAACTTTAACAGCCGTTAATAGGAAATATTCATCGGATATAAATGTGTGATACATCAAAATTTTTAGAAAAATAAACTCTATAGAATGGCTATTTTAAAATTAAAATTTTAAGAACATTTCAATATTAGATTATAGACAATATATTCTATCAAATCATTCATTGTTGATAACAAACATATTTAAATAAGCGTAAAAAACACATATTTTATATTTTTATAGTTTATGTCTGCGGGTATACGATTTATATTGTGTACAATGTCCGACAAATTCTTATTGAAATATTTATTTTCTATGATTTTATAATTTTGTTCGATATGATATTTATACTATTTTTTTGTTATAAAAATTCGGCACGAATATTTCGTATCAAGTAAGTACAGTACCTGCTCACTTATAGTATGGAGAGAAGAGAAGTTTGCAAGTCGTGATACGTTGAAAAAACAAATATGAAATCTATAAAAATAAAGATTTTTTTTTTAAAAGTATATAATTTTCTACAACGTCAAGTTGTATATCTACGTAAGAATAAAATATAAATATTCCCTAGCACAAAATAATATAGATATTATTATTATAATTAATCGACTCGACAAACAACATGTGTCAAAATATTGATAGGTGCTGAATGCTGCAGTGAAATATTTTGCACGCATTATGTATTATGTATAATATTAAACTGGTAAATTCCGGTTGCTTGTTATTCGAGTCTCGAAAACCCTACAATATCAGTAATTACTATCATTTCAGACGGACAGATGTGATTATGACGTATACCTACCTACCTAGTTATTAACAATTTTCTATTAAATTTTACGGCCCAAAAATATTTTGTTTTTTTTTTTTTTATTTTATCATTATTATCATTTACAAATAAGGTTTACAGTGTTTGTATTCCGCATTATTTTATTTTGTTCTGCTATTATAGCCATGTTCAGTACAGCAGTCTCGATAACCTTGTCACGTATAATTGAATAAAAGCGTTGAAATTAATAAAATAATTGTTATATTATATTATAATACTACAGAATAACAACTATAGTTGTCCCGTCCGAGATTCCAAAAGGAATAATAGAAAAGTTAACATTATGCTATTACAGCCGTTACACGGGATTCTTCGTTTTGTTTAGTTTAACTTTTTTTTTAATTCATCTGTACCACCAAGGTAACCTATAATTCAATGAATAAAAAAAAAAAATTAATTTTCGTTCCCCAATACTAATAACTCTGCGTTAGTCCCCCCTTTTGGGGTTGAATACGGGAGAGAAAGTAGCCTGTGTTATACCTAGTCTAGAACGACATCCATTGTTTCAGCTAAATCTGTTCAGTACTTTGGGTGAGAAATGGTAACAAGCATGCATTTAAACAAACCTTCGTATTTATAATATCAATGGGATTGTATTATTTATTTATTCGAGTGACTAAACACACGCACACTTATACGGTTATTCGGACATTTACTGACACGTTTGTAAAATATATTTTATTGCGGCCAAATACCTACGCGAATAGTTCTTAAGAACAACAATAATTAAATACCTATTATGTATTTTTTGTTTTAGGCGGTTCTTATATATAATACATAAAATAAAGAAAACCAAATCACGTGCAATTTATTCAAAACGAACGAAAATTACGTTTTTTGATTTAACAATAATATTATTCGGACACACAGTTGTATCAATTATTTTCTTATTTTTATTGTTTACGCAAACATATTCCTAATCTACTATAACCAAACCGGACGAAAAATAATATTTAAAGTGTATTGTACACGGCTGGGACTGTATATTACAGCATATCCAATTGTTTTCTCGATGATAAAATTATCTTTTTTGATAATTCAATTTGTTTTATTATTATAAAATATTAGCATCTGGACATCTATATTATAGCTAGTATGTTAATATAAGTTATCTGTTAAGTATTACTCGTAATTTATTTAATAGAGAATCAATTCGTCAAGATGATGCGCAACGTGTGCACTGTGCAGTTCGAGTATCTATATATTTTATTATTAAGTATATAAGGTTAAGGTATAAGGTCCTTATAACAAAGAACAATATTAGAACTTTGAATTAAACATTTCTATTTGCATGTTATTTATTATAACGTTGTAATATATTCTTCGTATATATTGTATCATGTTATTTTCTTTGTTTCCGATTATTATATCGTTGATAATAATAATATTGAGTTATTATTTATAACTCTGTGTGTCGTTGCTTTTTTTAATATTATTATAAAATATTATCCATTAAAATATTGACTATGTATACGAAAATATGAGTAACAATTTGTTTTTTCTATTACCGTAACTTAAAACTCATTTCTCTTTCTTCTTGTTGTCCTTTGATCACTACTTATGGATACTTCTGGCGGCTCCCTAGCAGGTAGACTGAATGAGCTCGAACGCGGGAATTAGAGTTGTTATTTTACAAGTTAGTTAAAATAATAAACGTTGAATTAAATTTCAGTTTAAATTAATGTAAGTTATTGTAAATTTGTGCTTATGTATCATTTTTTGTATAATATTCTTGATTCTTTTTAAAGAATTTATTTTCCTACTAAGCAACTTGCTGGTGGGAGGAGGGTATTTTTTGTAGGAGGAACGATCCCACAATAGCTAAAATCTAAGGGAATAAAATTTTGAATAATATGTACCTAATAAATTTGTGGCAAGGCAGCGCCTTTTTGGGTTTAAACTCCAACACCCGCCCCCATCATTTTTATGTTCAAATTTACCATGTTTTTATAGGAAATACCGGTTTTTATACAGTTCTATGCAGTTTACTCAAATGGGGATTGTCAACATTTTCCCCTTATTGTATAGAATAACCTGAGTAATAAAATACATTATATTTTTTTTATATATAGTTCATTATTTTTTTAAATTTACAAATTCTAATGTGAAACGTGATATCAAATGTGTCTTACTAAAAATCCGATATTAAATGTTATTTGTGAAGGATTTAAAAGTCAGAATAACAATTCCATTGTTTAATGTGTATTTAATTGACAATACGGGTTCGGGAAAAATAACGAGATGTTTTTCTGGTGTAATACCACGGACATTGTAATAATTTATAACAATATTATTATGGACGGGCCTACGGTGTGTAAATATTTAAACGGGGAACAATATATTAAAATATAACCATGTTAAAATAAATCAACTGCATTCGGTTCAATAAACGCCTGTATACCGAAACCGAATTCAAGGGGACAGGAGTCCAGTCGGCTTTTGTTTCGGACAGTAAACATAATTGTAATTAGAGCTAGGATTTCAATGCACTAAATTATTTCCAAAGTTTGCTGTACAATGTTCTTTTTAATGAAAATTAGTTTTATGTATTTTTAAATACAAATAAGAAATTTGAATTAGTATTTTTTTGAAAAATTTTTAAGTCTTATTTTATTTTTTAGGCACATTATTTTTATTTTTCATGGAATTTTTGGGGTTTGTAAGTATATTACATTCCCAGCTTTTATACTACACAAATAAGAGGTAATTTCCCATTCCATCACTATTTCCTCATATGCTCACAAGGCTTCATATATTTCCATTTGTTCTCTATTATATTTTATAATCGCCTATTTATTATAACTATACCACATACATCAATATAAACATTTTCATTTCTGTCATTTCCATTTTTTCATTTTTTTATCGAATTTCCTCCGATTATGGAGACTATAGTATTATGTTGTGTATGTAATGTATACATATACATAGCAGACATATATACATTTTTATATAAATATATATAATATACATATTTTTTTCCTAGTACATTTGAACAATTTAAACAGCTCTCTTTGGACCAAAAGAGTTCAAAATCATAAATTAGAGTTTTATTTTTATTGAAATGATTGAAATAATAGCATTTTTGGTTGAAATTCAATATAAACTTCACCATATTGTTGCGGGAGAACGGTGTTTTTATACACCCTGACCTCTCAAATGAAACTAGGATGAAATTTTATACATGCATAGTATAAGTATCAATGATGTGCCTTTTAGTGATTTCAACTTTCAACCCCCTCTTCAACTATTTATGTTTCATATTATCACAGGAAATGTCGAGTTTTAGTTACCCATAAATATCATGAAAGTAAGAAACTTGTTTAAAATACGTACAAATATATATTATAAACGGAATTGTTGTCAAAGATGTACCTTTGGAAGGTTTGAACTTCCTACCCCCGACATCACCGTTTGTTTGTACTTTATCAAAAATCTCGAAAACATACTTTGCCTATTTTGACAAAACTTTGTTGGTCCCTTCCATATCATTATAATAAAAAAAAAAAAAAACATATAATATTGTAACAAGTAAGCTGGAGGAAAATTCGCCTCTAGTGATAGAACTCTGGTATTCATGTTTTTTTTTTCAATGCCCAACATTTTTTTCATCCAGTTTTTAACGTATTATAATTGCAGGTTTCTCGAGATTACCTATCATGTGCTCGAGTATGATGTTCCATCCGATGACAAACGCCCAAAACTCGCCAACGCTGACGTAAGTGTACACGTAAGCTGAACCTGCTTTCGGAATCCGGGTACCAAATTCAGCGTAACACAGGGCAGCCAACATAGATGCCGCACCCGCCAACATGAATGACAGTATGATCGCTGGACCAGCTATTTCCTTAGCCACGGTACCTATGAGAACGTAGATGCCCGCTCCAACCATGTGACCAATCCCTGTGGAAAACAGACATTTCAATTAATTCATATACTTACCAAATTTGGTTGTCGTGATGGAGTAGGTATAAATGCATGATTGGGCAGCAATATTACGGAAACACCATGGTAAAAGACTTCAAGGAATTCTCAATAAGAGATGGAGAAAATATAAAAAATCAATGATTAAGGAATTGACGTAGTTTATAGAAATATGAATGGCACCAAAAACTATTAAATATAAAAGTAATGGCAGTGAAGTATTTACGGCTTGGTTTTTTTTTTTGGGGGGGGGGGATATTGTATTTATATTCAGACAGCCAAATTCATCTAAATCATAGCAAGTTCTCTTATATTAATAATAGAATTTGTGTGTCTCTGAAGTAGGGATGGACACCCAGATTTATGGTACATATGCCATATTGTTCTTTTTTTTTAATTCTCTGCATTAGTTCAATACATAAGCCCCGATTTCCATTATGTGAAAAACATTTAATTAATAGACCGTCATAATATACAACTATTCGAATTAACTAATAAGAAAATTACTAAAATAAAAAAAAAAATCAAATTTTAATTTTTTCTCATGTTCATCTCGGTATTTTATTATATTATTATAAAACCTGTGAAGAGGTTACGAGACATTGCTCCTGTAACGAATAGAAAACATTCTTAGTACAATAATTGATCAAGTACACATAATAATGAAAACTTGAAAAAGAGCAGATACTGGGGATGGGAGTAGCCACTATTATAGGTGAGAAGTTGAGAAGGTAGAACACATAAGGTTTTTTCATTGCATAGAAGATTAAAATTATGAACAATAATAATACTACAATATTTATAATTCGTGACGAACTATCAGACTTCACAAAACCGGTTTTAATCATATGCGTCGTAGTAAAATATAATAGGTTTAAAATATTAATAACGTAATGCCATCTATCGGATTTCCCTCTCGCTATTATTTATGTTTCTAAATAAACAGCAAAACAGCTTATCTGTATATTATAAAATCAATGGTATTAGTAAACAAATATTATGATCTTTTTTTTCTGTGTACAACTTTTCTACCAGTAATTTCACTCAGTTTAAAATAGTAGCACTTTTTCTGAGAGGAAATCTGACTGGGAATGTATTTAGGAAGGTAATTTTATGATTTTCCCAGAAATTTTCCCAATGAATGGGAAAAATCGGTACAATATTAAACAAATATTATTAAAGAAAATATTTAATGCCTATTTGATTATTTTACTATAATATGATATACTGTTGACAAAGTCAACTTTATCACTATCAACTGAACTGTGCTCAGAATCGTAATATACATAATATATAATTATAGTGTAGAAGTGCATTAATGCAGAAATATTTTATTAAATTATAAGCGGAGTGAGGAATCTATTGGTTTTACTACGATGTGGATATTTTGTATTTTATATTTTTATGTCTATGAACGACGTTTTTACCATTTATAATCTTGATCCAATTAAAAAATAATATAGAGAGAGCTTTTTTGTTGCCTTTTGAATTTAGTCGCAGATTAAAATTATAAGTAATTCGTTTTTTGATTTTCCAAATAGTTTTTATAAATATTGAAAAAAACTAGAAAAAGACGTAAAAAGAAAACTGACAAATTTAGTAAGTCGTGATTTCGTTATTTTACATTTGTATGCTTTATGTTTTTTACCAAAAATATTGTTCTGATAGAAATACGACACTAAACCTTTTTTGTTTAATTTTAATCTAGTTAGTGTTTAAGACAGTCGCTTTTTGATTTTCTGTGCAGTTTATTTAATAATGGAGCAAAACCAGGAAGAAATTAGAAAGCACGAGAAAGCTTACTGATATACATTGAATTATTTTGTTTCCTACTTTTCCAACTTCCTCCCTACAACAGTGGCACATCCATTAAAAGTACCAGCTTTTTTCTTTTTAATTCAAAAATAATTTATTATTAAATTATTTTTGTAAAAAAATAAAAAATACCAATTTAAAACACATTCTATGGCAATAATTACATTTAGACAGGAAAATACTTACCCAAAAGTGTTATGTCGAACGTTGTCAAGCACCGTTTTAGAGGTGTTTCTGCTTGTGGGCCGATATCCAATACTTTTGTGCGGCCCATCTTTTCAGAAAAACCACTGAACACGTGACTCAATATCTTATGCCTTGACCCCGGCATGATGATCACGTATAATTAAACCCTAAAAAATGAGACGAATATTTTAATATTTTAACTTTTTTTTTTATTATTATTAATATTATAATATCGATACCATTACAATAAAAACAATTTGTATAATACATAAACAAGGTTAGGTCAGGGTAGGTTATATAAATGGTGGCAAAGTGATGTCTAAACAAAATAGTGCACAAAGTACATAAGCAGAAATTAGAAGCTCTAAGCCCTCTGTATTGCCAATAAACAACCTCCCTAAAAATATATATATAAAATCTCCGAATATAGTGTAGGTACTTTGAAAAATAATTATTAATAAGTAGTACAGTAGTATAGTATGATTTTTCTTGTATTGTGGTTTTCTGATTTTAATTTTCTAATTTATATAATAAATGGGTTTGTCCCCCCTAAAATTAAGGTCTAGATTCGTCTAGAACGTTTTCAAAAACACTTTTTCTTCTCTTCGCCTTCATCCCAATTATTTGGGGTCGGCTATCCTTGTCCTAAACTTCCACTTGACCCAATCGCCCAAATAATCCTCACATACACGTATCATCTTCATATCATTCTTAATCACGTCTAACCACCACTTTTTTGGTTTTTCTCTCCCCCTCTTTCCTCCTAAGTCTATTTTTATTACGATTTTACTAATTCTGACTCGTTTTTCCTCATAATATGCCCAAACAGTCTTAATCTATTTTCTCTCATTTTGTTCACTATATACGAGTGCCACACTCCATTCAACCACTTAAACATTCTCATCTCTGCTGCATTCATTCTCTGTTCTATTTTTCTGTCTATCGCTCAGAACTCTGACCCATACAACATAGCCGGTCTTACCTCACTCTCGTAAAACTTACCTTTAAGTCACGTTGGAATCCACTTGTCACATAAAACACTTGACGCTTCCCTACACTTAATTCTACATTTCACATCATTGTCAAGTTTTTTATTATTACTTCATTATTACAAAGTACACAATGTTTTTAGGATGCATCAGTATCGTATTTAATGCATATTTTTTGTCGCAATTTACAAATATTATGTCTATACGAAATGCGGTTCTTATATTTACATAATACGAATTAGTATTAAATGTATATTACTCATAATTTATAACATTTTTCAATTTGTAAAGACTATTAAAAATTAACACTATACTTTTATCATTAAAATCAGAAAAAAAATATTATGTACCAATAAATTGTACCAAAAAAATGTACAAATAAAGTATCTGTATTGTTCATGTTTGTCCATATATTATGCATGTGTGCATATTTAAGTATGAAAAAATGTTACTAAATGAAACGTCGCGAATTTATATCAGTATAATAATAATAATAATATTTTATTCAAATATATATAATATATATTAATGTAAACAGGCCAGCGCCTAGTGTTACAAGTTGGATATATAATAAACATAAGTAAGTTATAACAAATAAATATAGAGTAATATGTATGTATATATGTTTTTATAACATAAAAACAAAATAGATATACAATTAAATAATAATAACGGTTTAAAATTAACACTGCTGATCTACAGCTCAATGCAAGTTTAAAATTTTAAATAGAGACGTGAGGCGTGAAGAAAAAACAAATGTTGGTCTTCTTGTTGCAAAAAGATAATACTCTTGGAAAGGGGGAGTTGGTGAGATAGTTTGTACAGTAAGAACGTATATAAAAAATAGAAACTGAGCGGCTATTGTAAGAAGAAACATTAAAAAGGATGGAATTTAAGAGGGTGGGGGAATTGATAAATCCATTAATTAATTTATATACAAAAGCTAAATCTGAAAATTCACGACGTAATGAAAGAGTTTAAATATTTAAGTTTAATCTGATTGGATTATAATTATGGTTTTTTTTATGGGTATTAGTTTATAAGATAAAAATCTCAAAAAAAGATTCTGGACATGTTCAACACTGTCAACACCCGATTTAGTGTATGGGCACCATATAATCGAACCAAATTCCAATATTGACCAAACTAATGCATTGTATAGTAGAATGAGAGATCGTGGATTCTTGAATTCAGATGAATGGCGTTTTATAAATCCTAAAACCTTTAGGGCTTTCCGAATAGTGCTCTCCATATATTTATTAAAATTATATGAAAAGTAATACCAAGATCTTTGGTGTGAAAAAATGATTCAAATTGATTATTATTTATAGAATAAACAAATTTTATTGGTAATCGTGGTAACCTATAGAAACTCATAAATTAACATTTGAAAATGTTTAGGCTTATGCCTCATTTTTTACATCAATCAAATAAAATGTTCAATTAATTTTGTAAAATATGACAGTCATCAAGTGAGGAAACATGAATATAAATTTTCAAGACATCTGTAAATAACAGAAATTGGCTATTTAAGAGAGCTGAGGAGATTAAAAAAATATAAGGAATAGGAGTGGAGATAAATGACCTCCTTGAAGAGTGCCAGATGGGACTGTTGTAGTCAGACAGAAGAGAAACATTGTACTCTAGTAAATTGAAATCTATAGTATGGTATATCACAATTAACATTTTTCATATATGCTGCAGTGTAGTAAAAAAATGAATACAACATTTTTACACAACTTTAGAAATGTATTTTTAATAATTTCATTTGTCAAAATATAATAGTTTATCAATATCGAACTATAGAAGATAAAATTCTATACCGTGTTGACAGTCATTTTTTTTCGTCAGTATTTAAAAATTCCAATTTTCAGAATGAAAAGATGGAATAATTTTTACTCAGATTGTATAAAATATATTCATTATACACACTTACGAAAAAATTAGGTTTGAACCGTTGATATTTCAAATCCTCATATTGGTGCACAATCTAATAAATATGCAAATGCATAAAATTTCGGTTTCTGAATATAAATATTAAATGAGGAATATTAAAATACTAATGGCCTGATTACTCAAAAATTCATTTTTTTTTAACCTTACGTATATTATGAAACATTACTGTAAAACTTTCTAACTTTATAGCTCAGAAACAAAATGATTTTAACGTTTACTTGTATTTAAAAAAAAATGCAAATAAACTTTTTTAAAAATTTTAATTGTTTTTTAAAAAAGCTACCTTATGCATAAGCTTCTTCACTCCACTCAGAACCTAAAACGCATGTAATTTCTGTAGGTGTTTTTCAAAATACACTAATCAGTTAATATTTTTCTCAATATTTAAATTTAAAAAAATGTTCAATAGGGACAATTGTAACATTAAATTGTTGATCAAAATTTCCATAGGTTTGTAACCAGATTTAATTTATATTTTAGATTTTCAGTGGAGTGAAGAAGCTTATTAGTTTTATAAAGATATATTTTTTTTTTTATCTGTGCATAACTTTTCTACCAGAATTCTAATTGCTCAGATTTCTAAGTGTAGCACTTTTTTAAAAGGAAATTGGTGTGCGGAGATACTTTAAGCAGATCATTTTTTGATTTTCCAAAGAGTTTTCCCAGAAAATAAGAAAAACTGAGATAAAACATGGGAAAACGTAGGAAAACAAGGAAAATCAATACAACATTAAACAAATATATATTAAAGAAAATATATAAAACCTATTTAATTATTTTACTGCAATATGACATATATTGTTGACAAAGCATTATTATCAACTGAACTGTGCTCAGAATCGTTTTTTCGTCAGCAATGGTTTATCGTTGCTTACTGGTGTACATTAAATTATCTATAAAATAACGGGCTGCACCCGCCCCCATTATCTTAGCACGTCTTTTTATATTATAATTATTTAAATAAATTAAAATTGTAATATTTCTAGCTTCTTTGATTAAGTGCAGTTTTTTTTTTAGTTTACAAAATTTTGTACAGTAAAATATTAAATTTATAATAAGCACCTATTTTAGTTATTCAAAACTTTAAAAGTAAAATAAAACCCTATTTATTAGATAAATAAAAATGTTACGAAAAAAATGTTACAATCGTACCCAGTTTCCTCTATGTAAAAATTATAATTCAGATTATATATACTGTAGATCTATACAAATTGTTATAATGGGTATCTTATATTTTTAATTTGTCGTACATTTAATGTCATAATGTCATCGGCTATCGTCATAATTAATAAAACTTCTCTTTGTCCACAATTATGCTTTGTACTTTTCGATTATATTTTTATAATAATATACAATTTTTAAATATTATTACATTAAAATATATATTATTTATTAACGGTTTGAGATAGTTTTGAAATAATTTCGGACTAACTAGTCAAAAGTGTTTTGTACCTTCCTGGTTATCTAGATATTGTAGAAAATTCCAATAAAATAAGATAGGACCTAACCTAACTTATCTATGTAACTACCTAGGTATAATATAGTTTACTACCTATTTATACGCAGTATCTAGTTATTTTTTGCCTGTAAATAGTTTTAAAAAATACATTAGCTATGAACTCTTAAGTTTTTAAAATATATTAACATTATTAAATTATATTATTAATTTTGAGTTAACGATTTTTCGTCAATTTTTCTCTACGCGTTATTGATAATGACGCGGTATTAAATTATTTTATCTGTATAGGTATACGGGTTTATCGCGTCCGGTTGCTTTTTTTGATTAATTTAGAAAAAAATTATCATCGATACGAAAATATCTACATTATACGTATGCTAAAAAATAAAAATACATATCATATAGATAATGTACTTTAATGGCTACAGCTATACTATATAAATATATTATTGAATTAACACGGACACTATGTATATGGGAAATAATGATATAATGGTAAACTATGAGGAATCTTGCGAAACTTTAAAAATTCTTTATGCATCCAGTTTTCAGATATGGCGAACAGACAAAATATAATATTATATATAGGTAGATATATAATAGGTATCTACCTGTATATAATATTTAATATAAGTATAGACTAACCTGTATATCCATATATACAAATATCGTAAGTACTTCTTTGTTTTTCGTATACACATAGCCGAATAGATATAATCGTACACAATAAAACGCATGTATCATATTTTGCACGTCTATCAAAACACATATTATATAGGTAAGTACAGAACGTGACGATTTATAAAAAAAAAAACATTAAATCCTCGTTGGAAAGTGAAAACAATAGAACAACTATAAGACTTGAAACACTGTATATATTGTGTATAAATATAAATGAATGCATTTTTTTTTTTAGACTCACATTAATTTATTAAAATACTAATACATATAGGTTAATCTCAATGAATGTCATAGTTTAAATACATATAATAAACACCTTATTCAGAATATTATTAATCGATAATTATTATTAGCTACTAATTCTGTTAAGTATTTTGTTACACGTACACATATTATTAAATTAAAAACCTTTTATGCGTACGTGTATTTGTAAAAATATACATTTATAGAAAATGATTCATGGCCAACGAGGCTGTTCATTAAAATAATAATAATATGTACGTTTTTTATAGACTAACTATATTGTAAAAACATACTATCATGACGGCGCCCTAGGCTCGTGAAATTTTGAAATTCCATGCAGTAGGTATAGAGGTAGGTGTGTTTTTTTTTTAAGAGATTTATTTAATTATTTAAGTAATTAATTAAGTGACTTGTTAAGTATCTGCATTGCAGATATACTGGATTTTTTTTTTACTTATCAAATCGTTATAGGCGTTCGTTTTAAAAAAATAAATAAATGTATGCATAACATATAATATATGAGTATTTATTAAGAATAAATTATAATATCCTTAATAATTTATAAATAATAATAATTATATAATATAGGCCTAAAACGTCCTTCGCGAATTATGTTATAGAACATTTACACTTTTTATTCCATATTATTATTCTTTAATGACGGATAAACAACACAGCGGATTTCACAATATTGTGTTTTTTTTTTCATTTTTATTCGAAAAATAATTTTTCGTTCTTGTCGTATAATTTAGGTAAACGAAATCCTTACAAAATGTCACGTAACCCTATTTATTAATTTAATACATATAGAAATATCTATAATATACTCGCACTTAAGGTCATATACGAAGGCGATTTGTGAGGGTTCGAACTCCCCGAATTTTTTTTCAAAATAATCGTTTTTTATTTTCTAGATAAATGTTAACTATATTTGTAACAAAAATAATGGAAAACTTGGCCTCGACCGCACATTTTATGTTATTACTCAAATGTGCGATAATTTTTGTACATTTTTTTCGAATCTTTATAATAGCGGATTGCACGTTTTTGGCAAATGTATCTTTTCCACAAATATTTTTAAATAGAGCAGCGATATAATTTATACATGAATTTCATATATTATCTTGAAGATATTATGGTATATTTATTTTTAGATTCTGAGTAAAACAAAAAATATATTGGTTTTTAGAAACGTGTTTAGTTTTTAGATTCGGAGTGTATTTGTTATATTATGATGTGTGTTGTTTTATTTTGTTTTTTTTTTTATGTCCAAAGTATCAAATGTGGTATTTTTTCTGAAAGGAAAGTTTTTCTAATATTAATAATAATAATTTATTCATTGAAATAAAAACGGGCGTGAAAACAATTGAAACAAAATAATACATTACAATAAAACAATATAAATTATGTACGGTTATAAGTAGGTAATTAAATATAATATTGATATTGATGTAATGTAAAATTATAAGTTAACATTATAACATTATAGTGCATGTGTTTAAGTAAATAAGGAGAATTGATATGGTCATTAATGGGGTTATAAACAGAAGTTATATTCGCCACTCATCTGGATGCCAGTATAGGCAAATATTGTTCCAATCAAAAAATAACAAGAGATCGATTTTGGCCCTTTTAATATATAGCTATTGCCAAAGAAATTCGTATTTTGATATCTAAATGATTTTTTATAATTATTTGGAAAAACCAAAAGAGACGGAAAATATGATTTTTTCAAATTACGGCGCAACGATTTCATTACTTAAAATTTGTACAGCTTATGTTTTCTAACATAGATAATATTACTCCAACAGGTAAATGACAAGAGACCTTTTTTGTTTTATTTTAGATTACGACCGTAGCGAGGGAGTTAATGGTTTTACAATGCTGTTTATTATTATTTTTTTTTTCTAGCCTGTAGACAACTGTTTTCCTAGTAAACTTACTCCAAATTTCACGTGTAGCACCTTTTCTGAAAGCCAATTTTATTTACTTGGTAAATACATAGGTCATTTTTTGATCTTCAAAACGATATTTATGAATAAAAAGGATGAACCGGGAAACAAAAATACGATTTTTAACTATTTCATTATTTTAAATATGTACCTACCACATTTTTTTTAGCACAAATATGGCGCCAATTTAAAAATGACAAGACACCTTTTTTGTTGAATTGTTAATTTTGTTTTTAATGATGCATATCGTTTTTTGATATTCGAATTAGTTTCATAATAATCGGGAAAAAACGTAGAAAGGTTAGGTTAAAAAAAATACGGCACTTCAAATTATGTATTACTTAACTATTCTCGGTATCGTCTTTCGTCAGCAATGGTTTACTGTCGTTTACAAATTTAAATGAAATAACCTTCTGTATCCTACCTTTGAAAATTCTCACTCAAACGGCCTCACCCGTCCCCAGTATCAGCTCTTTTTAATCTTGTTCATAATTAAATAATTTAGTTTTTGATTTTTTTTTTTTTTATTAATAATTAAGAAAAACCGGAAAAAAACGTAAAAATTACGGAAAAATAAACGAAAATAATACTCTTATTACTTTAAACTTTGTTTAAGATTCTGAGTAGAACAAAGAAGCCTATGGTTTTACAAAGATGTTTATTTTTTTTTCTGTGGACAACTTTTAACCTAACTTTTTTACGTGTGTAACCTTTTAGAAAGGAAATTTGTGTAAAGAGATACTCTAGAGAGGTCGTTTTTCGATTTTCCCAAGATTTTTCGTAGCAAATATGAAAAAACGAGATAAAACATGAGAAAAACAGGAAATATAAGAAATGTAGTTATTAGATAAATATATTAAGGCCTTCTTTTTTTCTGTAGACAACTTTTCTACCAACTTTTAAAAATAGCAATTTTTCTTAAAAGAAATTTCACTGGCGAGGTACTTTAAAGAAGTCGTTTTTTGATTTTTTCTGAAGTTTACTCAACAAATGTGAAAAACTGGGAAAAAACAGAAGAAAAACGGGAAAATATACAAAAAACAGGAAAATCGGTAAATTAAACAAATATTTTTTAAGAAAATATACAATGCACATGTAATTTTTTTCCCATAATATGACATGTATATTAATGACAAAGCAACACATCAACCTAAAACCGCTTAGAATCGTTTTTTCGTTTAACAATAGTTAATCATTGCGTGCAGATATACATTGAATTTTTCCTCAACTACCTTTCCAATTTCTCATTCATAAAAGTGGCCTCACGTGCGAAGTATGTCCGTCTTTTTTAATAAATATATATTATCCTGTCATCTGGCTTTTATCAATTACTTAATGCGTTTATTGCGTTTAAAATAATACATATTGCAGTACATAAATCTCATGTAGAAAATGAATATTTTAAAAATAAACTTAAGAAAAAATTATTCTGCTAATAGATATTATAACTTTGTTGGGAATCATTTCGTCAAGGTTTATTATACACGTTTTCGAATGCATTGTATAATAATGATAATAATTCAACACTGACCTATGTCTAGGTGAGCGAGTATGCCGAACGTCCCAACACCCACTCGTTGTAGCCGACTGTATACTATTTTGTTGCAAAATAAAACAAACTCCGAACGCCAAAAATGCATTTTAATAATACCACGAAGCCATTAATATAATTACTTATATAAAAAATTAAAATTGTATAAAAATAATATATTCCAACTAATAAAAAATGAGCCTACAATTATAATATTATATATTAACTGTTCGTATTTCAATTAGTTTTATACGCACGTATAAACTCAAATATAGTATTAGGCGGTAGGTATTTGACTGGGAATAGTTAATAATTCCGCATATTAAGAAAGTAAGACCATAATAAATGTAGAAATATGACGGACGTATAATATATAGGGTAACAAAATAATCATATATATTTCTATGAAAAAAAAAGAACCTTTTCACCACAAAAGCAATAAATTTAGACATAAGTGTGACACTGTAAGAAGCCGAAATGTGCACAGTTTTTAAAACGGAGAAAGCCGAAATTGAAGTTTTTGAAATGTGGTGCTAGAAAATAAGAAAACTTTTCTATGAATTTCATCGTGAACAGAATGAATACGAACTGAGGAGGTTCTTCGTAAAATGGACACGGAGAAGTTCCGTTTCAATATAATATTGAACAGCTTAAGGAGAGAGAGAGAGAAAGGAAAGAGAAATATACTAGACATTTAATAAGAAAACTCTTAGATTAACTGTAATTAAAGAAAGAATTGACAGAAAGACGATAAGGAAGCATATAGTTATCATGCAGCATGAATAGTGCTGAAAGACACCGAAATAAATACATAGTTTGCAAAGTGGCCGGGATAAATGGAGGGATACGTCAATCATAATTTTACTGATCCTAAGGACTAGAATTAAAAAATAGAAAAATATTTTTGGTAAGACATTATGAAAACAAAAATCAAATTTATTTTTATCTAACTGAATAAAATATATCACACAAAATTAACATACAAAATGTAATGCCTATACTTAATATTACATCACGGAACAATTGGTATATATTGTTTATTCGTATATACTATTACAGCAATAAAAGCTAGAAGATTTAATTATCTTGATGTTTACATATTTTGGGAACGGTACTCTGTGTGTCACGAGTATCGAGTTTGAACATTTTCTAGTCAGTTGTAATGTACTGCAGATAATATGGTTTATACTGCAAATATATGAATGTCAAAATGTTTTGGCTTATCATGTAATAGGATAAAGTAAAAACTAAGTACAACTTATAATGAAATTCCTGTCAAATTTTCAAGTACGTACTAAATAAAAATAACGTAAAAACTTGCAAAATTTAAATGTCTATAAATAGATCAAGGATGTGGGGGGGGGGGTGAGAACTGACTCCAACTACCCCTTTTACTTATGATTATCTTATACTAAAGATTTTTTTTTTAAAACTACATCACTGTATTGAAGGATATGGGTAGAAGGAAATCCGAATACATATAATATAACTATAGTTTTCGTGGATATTGAATTGGCTCCCTAACTTAAGTAGTTCATATTTTTAGCTAATAAATTGATTTCTCAACATTAATTTCATAAATACATTGGTAATTGGTAATCGAGAAGATTTTTATTGATTTTTCAAGCAGTTTTCTAATAAAATCTGGGAAAAACCTGGATAAAATGTCGGAAAAACAGAAAATATACATAATATAGGTATTAGTAAAAAAATATTATGACCTTTTTTTCTGTATATAATTTTTTTATCAGCAATTTCGCTCCGATTTAAAATGATAGCACTTTTCTCCGAAAGAAAATCTGACTAAGAAGGTACTTTGGGGGTCATTTCTCGATTTTCCCGAGAGTTTTCCAAATAAATGGGAAAAATTGGAAAAATCGGTACAATATTAAATAAGTATTATTAAAAAAAATATATAATGCCTATTTAATTATTTTACCATAATATGACGTATATATTATTGACAAAGCATCACTATCAACTGAACTGCGCTCAGAATCGTTTTTTCGTTAGCAATGGTTTATCGCCTATCGTTGCTTACAGATATGCATTAAATTACTTATAATAGTGGCTGCACCCGTCTACATTATCCTAGCACGTCTTTTTTATAATATATTTCAGAATTATACTATTCGATTGTTAAAGATTTTGTTAAACAGAGAAATAGAATTTACGCGACGTAATAATAACAACATAATATTACGTTTAGTCTTCGAAAGCTTTTAGAAGAAATCATCCTACGTGATAGGGCATCTAAATGTGGTATATGTAAACTGTGAATAAAACAATAATAATAAACCTGTTTGGCACATGTTTAGTATTATAAATAATGTTTCAATAATGTATATTGCAAGGCGAAATATGTCCAAGTGGTAGGTACTTATTTTTATTTATTTTATTTTATTTTTTTTTATACCATACGAATATACAAATATAATAAATTAGTAAAAAATGTAAATCGCGTGATTATTCGCATTCATTGATATTTTTAAAACAAATACAAAATAGAATAAATAACGAATAAAATAAATTTATTTATTTTTTACAACATTATTTACGTTGAGGAAAAACGATATTGTTATTAAATGGATATACGACTATTGGGTGTATAATAATATATTTTATTTAATTTTCGATTTGACTGGTCTATACATAATAGATTAAAAATCATAGTCATACATAGCTGATACTTTGCAAGAAATAATATTATACAATTAAATAAAACCTTTTATGTTATATAGTAGGTAGTTAACAAGAATGTGTGAATAATAATTATAAAGTACTATTACATTATACGAATAATAGTATATAGTGATGATTCTGCAGTATCTATTACCGCGAGCGTTAGTTAAAAAAATAAATAAATGTCTCAAACCTTACCCAACCATTTTTTTTTTTTTTGTAACTGCAGCGTAATTTGTCAGTTATTTATTATATTCCAATATTGTTAACTAATCAATATCAATCATTTTTGTTGTGATAATTTGTATTTAATGGTTTAGTTTTGGAAATACCTTTTTCAACAATTGATTTCATTCAGTGAGTAAATTAAAAAAAAAGAAAAGGAACTAATGAGATAAGGTATAATGCGTATTAAAATAATGTTATGGATAATATTGGGTTAATAATATATTTTTGTCAATCAAATCAACAACTGTAACTAAGTACTAGTAATGGAGGGGCGAACGGAGGGTTATAAAATGTTCTACATTTACATTTAGAAACCAATTAGCGTGGATATAAGGTGTTTTAGACTTATATTTAGTAACATTACTGTGCCTTTTTATATTTAATAATATCCTAGAAAAACCCTCAAAAATATTGCCCTCTTTAAATTTTGTGTTTATGTTTAAACTTTTTAATTTCAACCTAAATGTTACTGTTTATGATCTACCGAACATATTACTATGTTGCCCATTACTCGTTAAGTAGAAGTTAGGTTAGGTAGACTGTGATAATACATGTTGGTGTGACATCTTTTTCATAATATCACAATGAGTATAGAACAATACTACAACAAAGTCATGCTTATCTAATATTAATGTTAGAAATATATATAAAAATAAACATTTGTAATTGATAAACAGTAAAAAAAACTACTTATTGTGCTGGGCGAAACGTTAAAAGCACTTTTAGAAAATTGAACGATGATTAAACATTTACATCACTTTTTTTAATTTTACTTGATGTTTTTATTACCAATAATTTTCTGTTATCCAGTATTGTAAATAATTACGGTTATGTATTTTCAAACTATTATATATTTTCTTAATAATATTTGATTAACATTGCATCTATTTCCCGTTTTCTCTAAGTTTTTTTCCTGTTTTCCCATATTTCTCTTCAATGTTTCCTATTTATTGGAAAAACTCATGGTAAAATCAAAAACCGATCTTTCTAAAGTACTACTCCAATTAGATTTCCTTTCAGGAATATGCTATTATTATAAATCTGAGCAAAATTGTTGGTAGAAAAGTTATCTAAAAAGAAAAAAATTAATAAAAAATATAAGCATCATTGTAAAACCAATACATTCCTCGCTTCACACAGAATCTAAAAGCTAATACTACTGATGGGTGAGCAACTGTTGTAAATAGGAAATTAGGAAGGTAGGATACATATATTTATTTAACTTATATCTGTGTAATGATAAATAATCCCTGGCGATGTACGATTCTGAACAAAGTTCAGTTATACGGTTTAAATGCCGTAATTTTTACGATTATTTTCATTATCTGAACTGAAACGCTTATAAAAAAGTAGTATTACATTATGCACAACTTTGTTTTTATCAATAAATGCAATTTTAATAAACCAAATGTTAAATTTTCATTAATTTCTGTTAAGCCAAACAATTTTACGTATGAAAAACCTAATAAAAACTCAAAAACTCAAAAATGTCAGTTTTACATATAAATAGCTAAAATACGCTAAAATATTTTAAAATTTGACCACATCTAAAAAAAGGCTAATATAAATATTTTATGGTAGTGTTAGATCTATTGACGATTATTTTACTGGATTTACTGGATCCAAAATACAAATTTGATTTTTAAATTGATCTTTTTTTATCGTAGATCTAAATTAAAACGTTTATAGTTTATTAGAACTATATTTTCTATTTCATATAATAATAGTATGAATTCGTAATACCATTGGTTAATGATGGTAATTATTGATAATCAATAGTTATACAGTATATAGCCATAGGTATAACTTATACCTATATTTATCACAATTTATGGGAAAATCAGTTACAACATTACGATGACACTTNATAACGATGGTTGAAAAACAGTATATATGCTTTAAACGATACGTAGGTCGGGTAAGGTACATTACAATATCCACAAGGTCTCCCAAGATGATTTTCTGTAATAATATAATTCCGCGATGTTACTTAAGATTTATGTAAATTGTTTTTTTCGCGATCATTTACATCAAAGTATAGCTAATTTAAATGTTGTTCATTTTTTTCTTAATACATACATGTTTAAAACTACATACTTATATCAAATTTGACCTTTTTTTGTGATAACCGTAAAATTGTTTTCTGAAATAAAGAAAAACCACATCTTTGTAAAACCTGTAGTAATCTCTTCTTTATGTTTGGAATCTAAAGAAAAAATCCCTTCAAAACTCCTTTCATAAACTCCCGCAGCGCGTATATTAACAACGACGACGTTTTCAAAAAATATATGTATATAAAAAAAAATATTTAAGTTCAAAAAATGTTCCGTCCATAATGTATAATAATTTACCGAAAACCAAGTCTTTGTTGTGAAATTATTAAACAATACTAATATTATAATATTTTCTACAACAATAATAATTATCACTGGCGAACATTTGACACCCTGCTGCAGTCTCCAATTGAACTATATACTTGATACTTTATTCGGTTCGTTATTTCAAGAGAACTGTAATATTATATACATCCTACAATTACATTTATTACGTGTATAATATTATTGTGATGTCGTTATTTCCTTTTTTTCACCGTCACCAACCAGTCGTATAAAAATAAATAATGAATTACAATATGCGAAAACCGACGCGTCGCACGTCCGACGAACTTGCAATTAATCTTCCGGACGTATACATAATATTATAAAATATACACTTTTGTCTTGTTCTGTTTTTTTCTTCATAATTCCGTTTTCACTACAATAATATTTCAAACAATAACTCTCTTGGAAAAAAAATGTTTTAGTTCTAATGTTTCTCGTGAAAAAATGTCACGTTATTAAAATATTTCGAGACGAAATATTATAATATGGTCGAGTACCTAAAAGATGGTATTTATTTTCTCCTGCGTTTATATTATAAATAAATCATTTACCGAGCCGATAAATTTTAATATTAACCACGTGACATTTAAACTTAAAATTAAACTGTGTAAGATACCTTAAAGATAAATTAAACTTTATAATACACTATATACCTGACTACTAAATTGCAATATTATTTAAATACCTATTTATAAGTTTGAAGCATAAATTGTTATTTCATGTACAAATGCGATGTTAAAACTTTGTTTTTGACATTAGGGTTTTTTTTTTTTTTAGGAAAAAAAAGCTAAGTTTTATAATTTATAATAATTATTTTATACAAATTCAATTTTCAACATTTTAAAAATATAATTTTTTTAAACGTTTTTTAATCCTTTGAGTTGAATAATGTGTTTACTATAGATCTACGATTGATTAAATAATCACTTGTTAAATAGATAATTCAAAATATACGAATTCTATCAAAATCTATTAACAAAATATATACCAGTAAAGAAAAATATAAAACAAAAAAGTCTTATTTCCAATCATTTTTATTTTTGGTTCAATTTTTCTAAGCATAAATGTTAGCTCCCAGAAACATGAGCTGAAATCAATGTTTAGAATCTTAAATACTGAGCGGAGCGAGGAGAATATATTGATTTTACAATGATGTTTACTTTTTTTTTTTATCCGAATAAGTTCTCTACCAGAAATCTTGCTCCGATTTTCAAGTCTACATTTTATCTACTTAGTACTTTAGGGAGGCCATTTTTTTTGATTTTTCTGAGGAGTTTTCATAATAAAAGGGAAAAACGTAGGAAAATTTACTATTTTTATCTTATAGTATTACCTTTAATTTTGTTTTTTTTTTTTGTTGTTATTGTTGTTATTCGGTTTTGAAATTAGTACAGAACACTTATATTTTCCTTTTCTAAACATGTTAAAATTTTCAAAACATATTTTTGAGTTATTTATAAACATTTTAATTTTGCGAGCTTTACGTTATTTTTATTCGGTAAGTACTCTGTGGATAAAATTGTTTGACCCATTAAAAATGCTTGACAATTTTACAGGAGGTTCATTATAAATCGTACTTTGTAGTTTGATATGAAAAAAAATAAAATTTAGTAGGTATAATATAGAATTTTTTTTTTTTAAGAATTTTAATATCAAATTTTGACGAAAATTTTAAATATTACAACCTTTTAAAACATATACTTGAACTTCGCTCAGAATCGTTTTTCGTTAGCAACTTTTAATCGTTGCGTACAGATATATATTGAATTTCATTTTATATCCTACCTTCCCAACTTCTCACCTACGACAACGGCCAATCGTGCGAAGTGTCAGTCTTATATTATATTATTAATGTTAAAATTATACTTCTTACTATTTACACTTCTAGTTTTGGATTTGTTTATTTTTACATTACTTTTAAACAGTTAAAATAAGTTCAACGTTTATGCAGGTTATTATAACAAGTAACAAATAACATTCTTCTCCTTCACCTTCGGTATTTCGACAATAGAACGAAAGCAAACGAGCGAAAACAAAATAAACGGAAACATATAGAGCGAAAAATCCATCATTTTAAGTTTTCTACAAACATTTCATGATTTTTTTTTTTGACTTTCGTTCACTAAATATTTTACACGGGCCGAAGGTATAATATATATTGTGTAGATACTATGGGAAACATTTTAAGAATTTTTTACTTAATGAAATAGAGTTTTGAAATGTTGTTTTAAACATTTATAACGCTATATTAGTGTATTGGCCTTTACAAGTATGTGTATATGTATTTTCAAAATTAAATTTGCTTGTATTGAATATTATACAAAATTGACTTAAGCCATTTTTCCCCGGGTCCAAAATACAAATTTGATTTTTAAATTGATCTTTTTTTTATCGTAGATCTAAATTAAAACGTTATATAGTTTATTAGAACTATATTTACTATTTAATAAAATAATAGTATGAATTCGTAATACCATTGGTTAATGGTGGTAATTATTGATAATCAATAGTTATACAGTATATAGCCATAGGTATAACTTATACCTATATTTATCACAATTTATGGGAAAATCAGTTACAACATTATTTTAACACTTCGACAACACGGTGTTTCTCAGCCGAAGAACCGTGAACTTCCGGGTTATATTAAGGAAACCTCGATATTAATGAAAATCTCATCAAATAATAGTGCGTGCCTTGAGAATAACAATATAACTATGGTTGAAAAACAGTATATATGCTTTAAACGATACGTAGGTCAGATTAAGTACATTACAATATCCACAAGGTCTCCCAAGATGATTTTCTGTAATAATATAATTCCGCGATGTTACTTAAGATTTATGTAAATTGTTTTTTTCGCGATCTTTTACATCAAAGTATAGCTAATTTAAATGTTTTTCATTTTTTTTCTTAATACATACACGTTTAAAACTACATACTTATCAAACAAATGTATAATTTATTAGTTAGGTATTTACTATATTTTATAATGGTAATGCGTTATGAATATGCATATAATATATCTTCTTTATGTGCAACTATAGTCATATAGTCCTGTATATAGATAAACTAATAAATAAAGTACCCAAGTGAAAAACTTTTTTTTTTTTTTTATCCGTTGGGAAATAGAAATAAATATATTTAGTGTTAAATATAACACTTTATTATGAAACTACAATAATTATTTACTATAATTATATTATTATATGAATAATGGGACATTCGTCACAATGAATGTTCATATTCACAAGTATGAACATATAGTTTCGCGGTTACAATATACAGAATGAATCATTCATTAGTGATTCTCGGAAGATTTTATGTGAATTTAATTTCTGTATGTTTTTCGATCATTAAAGAATTGTACAAGCTTTATTTTAACATTATTTGGCATTACTCCTTGTATTTTAAATTTGTAGGTATACATTTTTGCTTTTCAAATATATTCACCTCTCCCTCCATCGACCTCCTCCCCTTTATCCTTTTCAAAACACAGAATATTTGTATTATCCTATTTATTTTATATGAGTTATAATAGTTTAACGATTAAACCAGAGGAGTAAGGAAGGGTTATCAATTTATCATTTTAAAATGGATAATATGTAAAGTTTATTAACATATCCTACTTTTCAGGTCTAAATTTCAAACTAATATTACTTATAAACAGTAAATCATACATCCAAAATGTGTTGTGTTGAAAAGAAACCAAAATACCAAAAGACGTTACTCCTATAAATGAAAATCAAAAGTGTATACCCGTTTTAGGTATTAAGAGTAAGGGTAAAAATAAAAAATGTTTATTTAAACGAATTTTATTGTTCTTATATAAACAAACGTATACAAATATAATGTTACACCTATTTATAATTTAACAGACATTTTTTTTTAGAAAATTATTATCTTGCGACATTAAAATGTTGTTACAAATTATAAAACGGTTGTCTCATGGATTTCTTGAAGAAATATAAGAAGCGCAAGACTCTGGTGATTATTACAAAAAATTAAAACCATACAAATATCGGACAATACAAGAGTTATTGTATTCGTCAGATTTATTTCTCGGGACACTCCGTATATACCAATGGCGGATTCAAAGTGTGTAACGGGGAGCGTTCGTTCCCCCCTCTCCCGTTCACCGATATATTCTTAGCTCAATTTCCATTGTAAACGAGCGGCTTACATGAATTTCAACTACCATCCCCCCCCCCTCTCACACCAAGTCATCTTGTCGCAGATCCGCCCCCTGTTATTCACAAAAGAATACGCTAATTCGTACACTCCATCAGAAAATTTGGATTTATTCGAATCGATTTTTGTCGTTGTGAAAATGTATCGGTTGTGCTCGGGTAAATATTACAATGCAAATAGGTGTACTGTTATATTTGCCAATAAAAATACACGAAAATATACGAACAATAAATAACGCTGTAACGCGTGTAGCGTTTAACATGCACGCGCGTAATATACGAAAACCTGATAAATCGATTATTTATGCGGGGCGTTAAGCGTCGCGACACCGTGTATCGCCGTGGTTAGGTGAGGCGTGTAGACAACAACGGAGTGAACGCGCTTAGAAAGAGAGAAAAAAAAAATGCAAAAAACCACTCTGTACATTGTAATGAATATACCGTTGGCGGTCGGACACAAAACGGCGGCGCGATTGGGCCCGAAACGGCCGGCGCGCTGTTGTGCCAGCGCGGCGCGACGCAGGAGCCGTTGCCCCGGACATCGAAAACGAATGTCGCACGCCGCGAGTCCGCGTTTGTTGTTGTTGTCGGGCGTACCGGACTGTATTCGTTGACGCCAACAATTATTATCGGCAATCGGGCCGCGGACACGGGAAACGCGCCGTTCGTCCGCGCGCGGTGTCCGGCGTATCCCCCCGTATTATCGCGTTGCACTGTACAGAGTGAACGCGGTTCGCGTGCGCCCCGAAAAATCGGAAATTCGTTTGGTCGCCCACACGCGCTCGGCTCCCTCGTCGTACCGCGACGTGGCGACGTGGACGCGCGTAAATATTATCGCGCGCGAAACGCGTACGGCCTATATACTCACTCGGCGGTTGTAGAACGGCGGCAACGCTTGTCGTTGTAGGCGGTCGAACGAAAATCGGCGACGACGGCGTGTTCACAACATGGTAACGGCCGCGGCTGTTAATCGTCCGTGTTGTTTTCCGTCCGCGCGAACCGCAGCGTCGAAATGGCCGCGACGACGATAACGCACCGCCGCCGGGAATATTTTTATCGCGGGTTCGCGGAAAAAGGCGAGGAGAAGAACAGGAGACGAAAAAAAAAAAAAACAAACAAACAACGTCGGCCGGCGTTTCGAAACGACTGCGGGGGCGACCGGACGGCGGCTGAGGCGACACGACGACACACTGCCGCGTAGACTCCGGGAAACCTCGAAAATCGATTCGCCAAACGACTACGCGTTCTATACAACGGCGAACACTACACCCGCGGACACCGCCGCCGGGGGTCGCTCGCGGTTGCGTTCATGCGCCGTGGACAGACGGCGTACGAGCGTACAGAGGTGTACGTGTTTCTCTCCCGTTTCATCGCAATATCGCATTTCGCGCAATTTGCACACGCTCGCGCACGTCCGCCGCGCTGTTGTTGTTTTCCCGCGTGCACAGCGATATACGCGCACAGGACCCGACCACCGACGCCCGACGGGTTTCCCACGCGACACCGAGTGCTCGGCGAAAATCGTCGCGCGTACCTGCCCGCCGTAACGCCCGGACGCGACGACGGGATTCCCGTGCGCTCGCGGCCCCCCGCGGCCCCCCGCGTGTTTTCCCGGCCGGCGGGCAGGCGGCACGCCGCCCGCGCGATAATCTGTACCGCGTCAAACGAGTTCATAACGTACGACAGTAATTATTCGGGGGAATTTATGCACTGTACGACGTTCAATCGGTACCGTCGTACGCGTAACCCAACCGTAACCGCATGGTTACGTACTCCCGAGTAACTTCGGCCTCTATTTTTTTTTTTTTCAGCGCATCCCGACACAAAGTGTATAGTTCAAAGCGTGTGGCGCGGATTTGAAAAATGTCTAGTAAAAAAAATAAGACAACAGTCTTATTCCATTACCCACACTGTAATATACATAAAACTAAAAAAACGATGGAATTTTTTTTTTTTTTTTTTTAATTTATATTCAAAGAAAATATTGGTCACATTTTACCAAATTGATCTTTTTACTGTAAAAGTGTGAAGGAGATTTCTGTACGCCGTTTGACCAGATGTTATCCCACCTCCCCCCCTCCCCCTAAAAAATGCGATTTTATATTTTATACGCATAGGTGGTGGGTGGCCTGAATTTATTTGGTCTCATATAGGTAAAAAACAGTTCACCGTGCCACTGTCCAGATGTGTTACCATAATACCGTCGTTGGTGTCGTTGGCATTTGTGTTTTAACAGTATACCTACATATTATTATGTATTATTTGTCTGTGTATACGATAACATATTATAGGTAATATCGAATTTTTGTCGTCGCGCCCCCGTCGTTGACCGGCATAATAAATCGATTTACTCGCACTGCTATATAAGTACTATCTCGCCTACCTCTACCAATCTGGCTAGATTTACCTCGATAAAAAAAGAAAAAAAAACAAATGTATACAAATTATAAAATTATATTCAGCCGAGTTCGTTGATTTTTATTCCGACCTTATAATATACCTACGTCCCAGTCTGTGTTGTACCTATATTATTGCGGATTGACGTAAACGCGTCATAAAATTGAAATATTACAACGATACACATTTGTTCAGCGTCCACCGCGCATATAAAATTGAAATTCGAATAATTCAATTCGATTTTTTTTTTTATTTTATGTTAAACGTGTATTTGTTCGTATCGGCGGTGAATCGGAATATATCGAGCATATAATATAGGTGAACCTTTAAACTTTTCGACCGAACTTTAGGTACTCGAAACGTTTATTGACTTTAGTTAAGTTTAGTGCGTTTAAACATAGATGGAGCCCGTTATACCGTTTTCGGTAGAAAAATAATATTATATTACTTATTTTTTTTTATAATACTTGTAAGTTATAACTATACGCATCTGTCTAATAACAAGATATTGAAAAAAAAAAATACATAGGTAATAATCAATACCCATAGACTAATTTTTATGGTGGGGAGGGGTAAAGTTATTTTATATTCACACAATTTTGAATGATAAAAATGAGCTACGAAAAAGTAGAAACGTGGAATAATATCATTTATGATAATATAATTATAGTATTTTATGTGAATTGTTTTTAATAAAATAATAATTGAAAATTATAGTGATTGTCACGCTTAAACTTATATGTTTACATAGGATCATAATTATCACACGTATAGTCACATATTATAATATATTACAAATATATAATTATATATATAAATAATAATTTATCCTAGAGTATTATGAATAAATATAAAGGGAAATTATTTACTATAAACTAGTAATTACCTATTATTCATTCATATAATAATCGTGTCTAAATTATTATTTATGTTCATTATAAAGTTGAATAAAAGCTACAGAAGTCTAAAATGGGAATACGAGAAAACTTAAAAATAAGGCAAATTTTTTGGAAAATTGTTGACTTCCTAAGTTTTGGTTTTTCAAATTATGATAACCGTTCTCTAAAATGTCTTATCACCAATATATTTATTTTAAATCAATTTACAAAATATCAAGGGATTCAATGATCGTTCGTGATTTTGAATGTGGTTAATTGGTCATCTTCGACCTTCCCCTATTTATGCCTATATGTACCTTTGTTAATTTTTTTTTGCCGCAGTAAAACTCCAGAGAAATTAATGTGATTTTAGCCTTTTTTCAAACCTCGAATTTAATATCTTTTTTCTCAGATTTTATATTTTTCTGTCAAATTTTAAATAATTTGTCAATTTTTATTTTAAATATTTACGGATTTTTCTGTGATCATAAATTTGTGCAAGTTAAATTATATTATTTGTAGTGTAAATATAATAATCCAACATTTTTGTTAAAATAATATTATTTACTTTGATTTTTTTTTTCTTGGATTTTATCCAATTTTTAATTATTAATATTTAACACGTTTTTCTATAACCCTGAATAAAATTATTATCTTCAGCTTTTAAATATATTATATCCCAAACTCCTTAATCACAACCATAGTTGGAGATACAAACATAATATTAATATGCGTTTTCCCAATGGCTATAAAGTTTTTGGCCAAAGAAGTAAAAAATATTTAAAATTATGTTAACCATAAGGATATCAATGTAAATAATTTTTGTAATTTGAAGTCTTTTAAAAGTCTTATTGGGCGTCTTAATTTACCTATTATTTAATTTCTGTTTGTAACTTAATAATTATACATAGCAAAATAATAATTTTTCCTTTTATCTTTTAAATAATTACTGTTTATAGTTTAATTTAAATCAATACTAATATATTTACCTGTCTACTTAAATTATTAAGAACTGATCCCCCAGCAGAAGCATTGATTATTAGGGGGTGCTGAAATATTTATTCATAAGTTATATTAAGATGTAAATTGTAAATATGTTATTGTTGCAATAAAAATATTATTATTATTATTATATATATAGTTCTTAACAGGGACGTGTCCAGGATATCTTTTTGGAGGTGATTTAAGTAGTGGTTTTCAACCTGGGGGGGGGGGTCGCCAAAAACCAAAAGTATCATATGTATGCTATAAATTGTATTATTCAAGTTCTGTTAAATCATTTGTGAAGGGGTCATCATACATGAAAAAAAAATGTATAGGGGTCGTGATTCGTAATAAGGTTGAAAACCTCTGGTTTATAGTAACCTTAACGTTTTAAAGTTAAACTTTAACACTTAGAAAAATATCATTTAAATAAATGTAAATATATACCTGCTATATTAGTTTTAAAAACAAAATAAATTTAATATTTTATGTATACTTGGGAAATATTAATAAATGGGAAATAAACGTAAAAACCCAAAAACATAAAATAAAAAACTGCAGTCGTATAAGTATCATGAACTATATTCCGTTCCAGATAAGAACGCGCCGGGCACGGGTGGCGGACGATAATCGATCAAAACTCGCGCATGCGTCCCCACTACAATTAATTTATTCCGGTGGCGGCTCGCCATATTCTTTATACGGAGTGAGTTGTATTGACACGTGATTTTAACTGTTGTACGCGATTGGACGTGATCTTGTATTATATAATACGCGTTCTTAATCCAATTCATTGAATACACAGCAGCGACCGCAGCCGACTAACGGCGACCAATCGTAGAGCGAATAGCCAAGATGGTCGGACGAAGCTCCGCGATTCGTTTGGATGCATAAACCTTATACTATACTCCGTACTACAAGAGAAGTAACCCGTGTCCTGACCAAATTGCGATCGAATTCACGCATCCCCCACTTATTTGACATACCGTCGTTGCACGATGACAATCGTTAACGGTCGGAACGATGTATAGTGTGTATCATTAGTCATTACGTACACACAGTACAGTGTGTCAATGCGTCTGTGCCACTACTTCTGTGAACCGCGCGATAACTTTCACTCCGTTGACTGTTTGAATGATTTATTCTGCACGTGATATACGATATTATAAAAAACATTATAATATAATCACTCTGTATATCACTTATTTTACGCTGTATGCACGCCACATCGCGAACTGTAGGTGACAAAGTGGGGGAAACGGATCCTAGTAATGCTCTCTGCCGTCAGCCTGCATGCGCGAAACGGGTTACTTCTCTCGTGGCGCGGAGTATAACAGACGAGCCTTTTGTGCACGTAAAACGGTCGTAGATAGAGGGCGCTCTTCACGTGTGACTTGTGACATTTATGTGGTATATTGTACGTTTTACTACACATACGAGGTTTGTTCAAAAAGTTCCGGGATTATTTGGATTTCGCGCCAACAGAGCATCCAAGAGCAATGAAGCGATGAGTATGATATCACTGGCTTCTGTGACTTGTCCTGAGCACATTTGTTTTTGTAGATTATCTAACGGAACCTCAGCCAGGAGATCTGGCTAGGATTTATTGCTTGGTCAATTCTCGTAGGTTCCCTAGAGGGACCAAAGGGACTGCTTTACCCCTAGGTATTTTTAGATGGTACAGGCCTCTTCGTGGAACTGGAGATTAGTAGTGCCGTGGATTTATCCCGGTGCAAAGTCAACATGTACAAATTCTCGTTAGGTGGGCGAGTGTGGAAACTCCCCCACCGAGGTTGTACCTATCGAGAGATCGAGACTATAGGCTCATCTCTCCACGAGGTTTTTCGGGGGGTCTTCTCATGTTCCGACCGTCGGGTCACAGCGTTGGATGTTCTCGAGCGGCCAATTTACCTCTGGCAACGGAGATTGTGTTATCACGCACGTGTCGGTAGACTTCCGATTGTCTCCGACGCAGACTGATCATCCGCTTCGTCGGTGGCCAGGTGTCGAAATATGTCCAACTTTTAACATTTATGAAAAGTAGTCCGGGTGGTCTTTGAAGTCTCAGTGTCGGCCCATTCTTGCCACCTAAAGGAGACCTGG